TGAGTCCAGCGTCCCCCATTTGTAGGCCAGCTCTGCCCCCCTCCGTTTCCACTCCTCCAAGAACAGAGTCGACCAGACCACGTTGAAGAGGGCAAAAACCACACACGAAACATCCCGGCTTGTCTGGGGACGGCAGAAGGCTGAGCTGTTGGCCAAGCTGGCCCAGGGAGGAGGGAGGTGTCTCAGGTACCCCAGCCCCTGCCCAGCCCACTCCCAGCACCTGATCAGCCTCCGTAAATGTGTACAGGACGGAGCCAAAAACAGCTGGGTATACCATCGCTGATGTGTAGAAACCCAGCCAGGCAAAGTACATGGCAATCTTCACTCCAAAGTAGTCGCAGATCTCATCTGCCAGGGGCACAGTCAGGGGGTCCTGGTCAGCCCTGCCCGCTTCCTGAGACTCCCGCACCCCCCACCACCACCTGGGGCCACACCTAAAGGCTGGTTTTCACACACAGCTTGCACCCATGACTTCATGAGGCGGTTCAGGATGCGCTGCTCATGGACCGGGAACACCTGCTGGATGATCCCGCGGGCTGCCAGCTCAGGGACTGTGGGGCGATAAGAGCAGGACCTTGGCCGAAACCCAAGTCACAGTTTTTCCCTGCCTTTCAATCTTCAGAAGCTCTTCCCAGGGGAGGAGTTCTGAGTGGGCAGGATGTCTGGTTCTCTTCAGAATTGGGAGGTGCAGAGGCAGGCAGGAGGGGGTGCAGGAATCCACCCGGAGGGTGAGGTCCTAGGGTGGAACCTTGTATTTAAATAAAGCCATCGGCCTCAGTTCACTGCTGCGAACGTCTGAGGAATGGTGCTAAATTGGCATCAGAAGGTGAACTTGCAGCAGCTGCTTTCTGGGAGAGGAAACTGAGGCCCAGGGCCACACCTCACAAGGCATGGAGTGCTGTCCATGGTCCTGCCCCTGCCTCATCCCAGACCCAGAGAAAGGTTTCTCTTGGACACGCCTCCCGGGAGCTAAGCCCCACCCCTACCCTAAGGCCACACCCTCTCACCGCATTGATTGATGTCTCCGGGCCCCACCCAATTCTTCCCTAGCCTTTGGGCGGTTGCCTCTAGGCCCCGCCCCCTCGCGCCCGATAGGCTGCACTCTAAGAGCCCCACCCAACTCCCCACGTGTGATTGGAGGCTGGTCCCGCCCACTTACTGATTGGCTGGTCCTCCAGGAAGCGCACGTTGTGCAGCGCCTCGCCCTGCTTTGCGCGTAGGTTCTGTAGCCAGAAGCGGATGATGCTCTGGCGTTCCTGCGGGGGACAGGGCTTGAGCACAGGGAGCAGCAGCCCAAGGGCTAGGGATGCGCACTGGGAGCCAGAGCTGGCCGCACCTGGGAGGTGAAGAAGCGCAGCTCACTCTCCACGTTCTCGTAGATGAAGTCCTCCTCGCAGGAGAAGCCGCGGGTGCCCCCGCCAAACTCGGCCTTCACTGCTTTGCGCAAACCGAGCTCGTCGGCTCCTCGAAGTAGGCTGCCGGGAAGACACGGAGCTGGGGTCACGGGGAGACCCCTGGCTCATGTCCTGGAGCTAGGGTTGGTGTACCTGGCGGCCACCTGGGACAAATGCAGGGCGCTAGACCTTGCAGTTGGTTCTTGAAGGGCGGGGAGCTGGGTAGCAGGGTCAGCGAGAGGCCAGGGACAGAGACTCGCCTCTCGTATGTGGCGGTGACGAAGAAGGCATAGGCACGCGTGTGGCGGTGGTGGCGGACTTGCACGATGAGCTCGGGGATGCCCACGCGGATGTGGTTCAGCAGCCATAGCAGCGTGTGGTCATCAGTCGTGTCTGCCAAGGGGCACAGGGACTGATGGCTCTTGCCACAAGGGGTCCGAGGCCTCTCACAGACTCCTACTCAGGGGAGCCCAGCTCAGGGGAGCCCATCTGGGCAGCGGGCAGGCGGCGGGCACAGGTACCTGGAAAGGTCATCAGCACGTCGCAGTTCTCCGTAGGCACTGTCTTCATCCACGCCTTGTGTGACACCAGATAGCGACCAGCCTGCAGCAGCCGCTTCCCAAAAAGCTTATCTAGGGGGCAGGCGGGGCAGGGCCCAGGTCAGGCCACTCCCAGACCAGGACCCCAGCCTCCAGTTCAGTCATTCCCGCCCTAGCCCCTGCTCACACACTCAGTCTGGCGTTCAAGGACCTGCAAGCTTTGGCCTTGGCTTGTTTCCTTCCCTCCTCGTCCTTGCAACCAGCCAGGAACGCCCTTCCCCCAGGTCCTCCCTTACAAATCTTACTCATTCTTGAGGCCCAGCTCCGCCTCCAAAACCACAATCGATGGGGCGCTCACTAGCAGCCCTGAGCACTTCACCACATCATGTCAGCGCGTCCTCATAGCTGGGCGCGGTTCTTACCCCCATTTCACAGGTGAGGAAACTGAGGACCGGGGCGTTTAAGTCACGCACCCAAGGTCACACAGGCGAGCTGGGATTCGAACCCAGGACCGTAGGATTCTGTATCCTCTGCGGAGAGGCTCTCTCAAGCGCATCCCTGCCGGGCTGCGATCTGGTAGCCCAGGGGGTGATTGAGCTCAGCCCGGGCCAGGGTTCTCGGAGGGGCGTGTCCGCGTCTCTGCGCGGGGACCCCTGCCCCCTGCGCCGTCCCAGCCGCGCCGGCCTCGCCGCAGCCGCAGTGCCGGGAGAAGCCGGCCCCTCGACAGGACTCTAGGCCCGGGACGGCTGACCCCAATCCCACTCCCCGTCCGGCCGCCGCGCACCACAGGCACCTGCAGCGCTGTCAGATCCGGCCGCCGCACACATACCCAGAACTCCAGACGCCGGGGCTGCAGGCTCGCCCTCAGGCGGGGGCCTCTTGCCACGCTCGCCCTCCAGGGACGTGCCCCCGGCGCTGGAGGTGGCTTCGGCCATGGCGAGGGCAGGTCAGGTCAGGGGCTGCGGGCGGCCCGAGCGCCGGGGGGCCGCGGGCTCATCGGGCCGGTGCAGCCGGCGGAGCGCGCTGGAGGTGGAGACAAAGGCCGCGCCCGCCCGCGCCGGCCGCCGTCCCCGCGTGCCCGAGCGCTGCTTGTCGTCTCCGCCCGCGCGGAACCTCGATTCTCCTCCTCGTCCCCGCGCACGTCGCTCTTGGGTTCTCGACTCCGCCCGTGTTGTTTTCTGGATTTCATTCTCGCCCGCCCACTTCGTTTTCTGGTGCCCGTCTCCGCCCGCACCAAAGATGCATTCTCCTCCGTGTCCCCGCCCGCGGTCTAATTCTGGGTCTCGCCGCCGCCCGCCCCAGGCCCCAGATTCACCCCCTCGGAGCCTTAGTTTCCCCATCTGCACAGGCGCGGTTTGGAATCTTGAGTTGGGCCTAATTTTGACTACGTTCATGACTTGGGAAGGGGTGGGCCCGGGCCGGGGAGACTCCAGGCAGCAGTAACTTCACCGCAGCTAGAATACGAATTAATAGTTACAGCAAGTCCTGCCCTCAGGGCCTTAGCATGTGCCGGTCAGCTCCTTAGGGCACTCGTCACACCTTCTCCGTCCACCTCTCAGGACGAAACGTCCTCAGAGAGGACCCGAGAGAGCTGCCAATTTTAGCAAATAAAAGTACACTCCTCCCAGTTAAACGTGAATTTCAACAAACGAATACACTTTTAGTGGGATGTAGTTATGCCAAAACCTTATTCACTGTTTATCTGAAATTCACATTGAGGGATCCCTGGGTGGCGCAGCGGTTTGGCGCCTGCCTTTGGCTCAGGGCGCGATCCTGGAGACCCGGGATCGAATCCCATATCGGGCTCCCGGTGCATGGAGCCTGCTTCTCCCTCTGCCTGTGTCTCTGCCTCTCTCTCTCTCTCTGACTATCATAAATAAATAAATTAAAAAAAAATTGAAATTCACATTGAACTGGACGTCCTGTATAGGTTCATCTGCACCCAGACCCCTGCCTGTCCTGCGCAGGCACTTCGGGTAGGCCGGGGGCCCAGCGAGGGCAGGGGCCCCTCCTGGTTCGTAGCGCACACAGTAGGCACCTGATGTGTACTTGTGACAGAGGGAACAACTCGGGGAAGGCGAGTGTCCGCGTTCGTCACTCTGACAAATGAAAAAGTCGAGCGGGTCGAGGCAGGCATCCGAACTCCAGCGGGTCGGACGGACAGATTCTTCCCCAAATGCAAGTGCGTCGCCCGCCCGCTCCGTCCGAGAACCAGAACCAGAGAACCGTCCGTGCGACCGCGGCCGGCGGAGACCCAGCCCCGCCAGCGCCTAGAATTCAGCCCTCAGCGCTTTATCCCGCTCGCCAGCGCTGTCCTGGGTTAACCTGAGAGGAATCCTTGAGACTCCCCTTTCTGGCCTTCGGGGAGCCCGGCCCGGAGGACCGGACACTCGGCTCCGCGGGGCAGGCCCGGGCCAGGAAAGCCCAACGGGGCAGAGAGCGTGATGCTGGGGGGTTCCAGAAAGGCGTCCTGTCGGGGGAGGGGGGCGCCTAGAGCTGGGGCCTGAGGACGAGTTGGTCCGAAGAAGGGATTCCGAGGAGCGAACGGCGGGAGGCAAGGATGGGGGAGGGGAGAAACAGTTCTGGGCACACAGGTAGGCATCTTCCCAGGAATTTGGACAAGGTTTGGCCGGGGCCGGGGCGTGGGCTCCCCGGAACTCGTCCCTCTCCGCCCCTGAGTTGTTCTTGCTCCGCCTAAAGCTGCGGAGTGGCCGGATGTTAAATACGGGGCTCGCACCCTCGCCTCCGTGTGATTCCCACGGCCCTGGGCCAAGCCCGGTTCTTCCTCCCACCCTCCATTTCCGGTGTCTGGGATACCCGCGCTTCCTTGGGTCCCAAAAATTGGGTCTAATGTTGCCGGGGGAACGCCATTTCGCTGCACCCCCGCGTGGCCTCCCCCCGCCTCTTTCCCTGTCGCCAGCCAATAGGAACGGAGATCTTCAGTGGGTGGGCCGTACGCCTCCTGAAGGGCCCAATGACGATCGAGCGTCTCTCAGCGCTCCACCAGTCACGCCGCGGAGTGGGCGGGTCCTCCTGCCAGGACTAGAAGCCACCCAGGCAGAGCGGGTAGGCGGGTCGCTGGTTGTGAATCCATGTGGCGGGGGTTGTGGAGCCTAGTAGCCCGGGGCGCACGTGGGCCTCGCAGGTGGGACGGTACAGGGAAAGGGTGTGACAACGTGGGGGTGCCTGCTTGGGCTCCGAACCCTTTCCCTGGGGTCTGTGGGCCCAGTTCCCTGCGGCAGGATCACCTTTCGCATTTTTCCAAGCCCGATCCGTTCATCCCCCGCCGCAGAGCCGACATCTGGGTCACCTGTTGGCCTCAGAGTACCCGTTCGGGTCACATTCTAACACCAGCCTCCGCCCCCTCACAATGTATCCATCCCCCTGTCGCAGGCCCACATCTGGGTCACCCTCTGGCCTCAGGCGCCCCTCTGCCCATCCCCCAGCCGCAGAGCCTCCCCCGGGGCATCTCCCCACTCCCTGTCCACCTGCTCTCTGCCAAAGAGCCTCCCAGAGGCACTGACCCCCTCCTCTGCAGTCCCAGGTCGTGCACGCGCCAGGGCAGCGGCGCCCCGGTCCCCGGAGCCGGGGCCACCATCTTCGCGCTGAGCTCCGGGCAAGGCCGCTGCGGCATCGCGGTGATCCGGACCAGCGGCCCCGCCAGCGGCCACGCCCTCCGGAGCCTCACGGCGCCCCGGGACTTGCCCCCGGCTCGCAGCGCCTGCCTGCGCCTGCTCAGCCATCCCCATTCCAGGGAGCCGTTGGACCGCGCGCTGGTGCTCTGGTTCCCAGGTGAGGGGCTCCAGATCCTGAACCTGCTGTTGCTCTCCTGACCCAGTTTACACACACAGACACACACACACCCGCCCGGCGTTGGCGTTTGCCTGGCCGCACTCCTCGACTCCCATCTCGCCACACCAGGTCCCCAAAGTTTCACGGGTGAGGACTGCGCGGAATTCCACGTGCATGGAGGCTCGGCGGTGGTGAGTGGCGTCCTGCAGGCCCTGGGTGAGTCTGCAGCCTTGGGCTCGAAGTCTGGCTCTGCCAGGGGACCCCGTGAGGGCCAGGGAGCTCAGGACCCAGTACCTTCCCGCAGGCAGTGTGCCAGGGCTGCGGCCGGCCGAGGCCGGTGAGTTCACCAGGCGGGCATTCGCTCACGGAAAGCTGAGCCTGACCGAGGTGGAGGGGCTGGCGGATCTCATTCATGCAGAAACCGAGGCGCAGCGGCGGCAGGCACTGAGGCAGCTGGACGGGGAACTGGGCCACCTCTGCCATGGCTGGGCCAAGACTCTCACCAAGGCAAGCCCCCTCTGCACCCATTCTCCTCTTAGAGACCCCACCTGCCATTCTGTGTGTGAGAACTTCCTGTGCCTGAGCCTCCAGTCTGGTCCCTTAGGTCAGGCTGGACCTGGGTTCTTGAACGACCACACCTCCACCTCCCTCCCTACCCCCCCCTCCACCAGGCTCTGGCTCATGTGGAGGCCTATATCGATTTTGGTGAGGATGACAACCTGGAGGAGGGTGTCCTCGAGCGAGGTGAGTCCTCCTAAGGGTTGGGGACACCTGGCATCTTGGCCCTATGAAGCTCCCACATCCTTTCCCCTCTGCTTTCTTCCATCCACAGCCAACAGCCAAGTACGGGAGCTGGAGCTGGCGCTGAGCGCACATCTTCGAGATGCCAGGCGCGGGCAGAGGCTTCGTTCAGGAGCGCACATAGTGGTCACAGGCCCCCCCAACGCCGGCAAGAGCAGCCTGGTGAACCTACTCAGTGCGTGGGAGGCGGGCGGAGGCGGGGCCTAGTGTCGGGGGCGGGGCAGGGAACTGGGGTGCTGCTCAGGTATGAGGGAGGGGCCTCGAGGACGGAAGCGCAGTCCAGCCGGGAGGTGGAGCCTGGGGGAGGGGCTCCGTCGCCTCTGCCCCGCCCCCTTGGTGATAACCCCTACTCCCCACTCCATCCTAGGCCGGAAGCCTGTGTCCATAGTGTCGCCGGAGCCGGGGACCACCCGCGACGTGCTGGAGACCCCCGTGGACCTGGCTGGGTTCCCCGCGCTGCTGAGCGACACGGCGGGGTTGCGGGAGGGCGCGGGGCCGGTGGAGCAGGAGGGCGTGCGGCGCGCCCGCCAGAGGTAGGCCTGCAGGGTGGTGGGATGGGGAGACAGAGCCCTTCCGTTCCCGTTTCTCCTTGCTGCATTTATTTTGGGTCCTTCTCAAATCACGAAAGGCTGCTAAGCTCCCTCGAGCGGGGACTCTGATATGGGGAGAACAACTGTTAAAATTAAGCCTCTGGGACGCCTGTGTGGCTCAGCGGTTGAGCCTCTGCCTTTGGCTCAGGTCGTGATCCAGGAGTCCAGGGAGTCCCGCATCGGGCCAGGGGTCTACTTCTCCCTCTGCCCGTGTCTCTGCCTCTCTCTGGGTGTCTCTCGTGAATAAAGAAATAAAATCTTTTTAAAAAGAATTAAAAAATAAATAAATAAATAAATAAATAAATAAAGTGAAATTCAGCCTCTGCTCCTGTCCCTCCCCTCTTGCCCCGCCCCATATACTACACCCCGCTCCGCCCTCACCTACCCTGCCCTTCCGCCCTCCTCAATCTTCATGCCCTTAATTACTCAACTCTGGGGTCAATGCCCTGTTGGTTCTCCCTGTTCCCCCAGGCTGGAGCAGGCTGATCTCATTCTGGCCGTGTTAGATGCTACGGACCTGGCCTCTCTGTCCAGCCGCAGCTTCCTGGACACCGTTGTCGTCCCCGCGGGAGCTGGGAGCCCCAGTGAGAACAGCCAGCGCCTCCTGCTGGTGCTGAACAAATCGGATTTACTGCCTCGAGGGGGCCCAGACCTCAGTCCCCACCTGCCTCCGCATCTGCTGCTGTCCTGCTTGACCGGAGAGGGATTGGAAGACCTCCTGGAGGCGCTGAGGAAGGAGCTGGCTGAAGTGTGAGCCGCCCTCCCCGCCCCCCCCCCCCCCCCGCGCCCCTCCGCCCGTCCCTCCGCCCATCCCTGCCCTGCAGCCTGCCTCAGCCCGCCTTCAAGTCAGGGCTGAGCCACTGGCCTTGGATGCCTACCTGCCCCCAGGCTCGTTTTCTGTACCTACAGAGTGCAAGTGAGCACCCCCCCTTCCAGTGGTAGTTGTGAAAGGTGAGAAAGACTGCATGGTTTGTCCCTTGCAGGTGTGGGGACCCGTCTACAGGCCCACCACTTCTGACGCGGGCAAGGCACCAGCATCATCTCCAGGGCTGCCTGGATGCTCTCAGCCACTACAAGCAGACAAAAGACCTAGCCCTGGCTGCTGAGGCGCTGCGACTCGCCCGTGGCCACCTGGCCCGCATCACTGGTGGAGGGGACACTGAGGAGATCCTGGACATCATCTTCCGGGACTTCTGTGTGGGCAAGTGAGAGGACCACTGAAGCTCTCAGCCAGAAGCCCTGAGGCATGTGGGCACAGCTTAGGCCAAGTGAGAATTTCATCCCATGGGGAAAGACCTTGTCCCCAGAATGATGAGCAAAGCGGCTGCCTTCAGAAGTGGTGAGCTCCCTGTTGCTGGCAGTAAGTAAGCTACAGCCAGCCACATTCCCTTGTGGGGACATGCTAGGGGTTCAAGCCCTGGATGGAACTGAACGGAGGTCCCTTTGGGTGTCCGATGCTGGAGGGAGTAGGAGTGGATGGTTGGATGGGGGTGGGGTCTTTGGGAGGGCCTCAGGGGTCTTTGTTTTGTAGTTCTTAATTTATTTTGCAAATACCAAAGGAACAGACAAAATTCAGGTGATTCAGAAATGCCTAAACATGGCAATCTCCCTCCCATCCCTTGGGGGTCACGGCTTAACTTGTGTACTTCCAGGATTTTCTCTGCTCTTTTACATACTTGTGTACACACCTATAAAATATGTTTTGTCGGGCACCTGGGTGGCTCAGTGATTGAGCATCTGTCTTGGGCTCAGGTTGTGATCCCCGGGTCCTGGGATCGAGTTCTGTATCAGGCTCCCCGCAGGGAGCCTGCTTGTCCCTCTGCCTGTATCTCTGCCTCTCTCTGGATGTCTCTCATGAATAAATAAATAAAATCTTAAAAAATATATATGTTTTGTCTTATATTTTGTACATAAGTTGTGTATTGCTCTGCAAGTTGTCATTCTCTTTTTTAGTATTAATCTTGAAGCTTTGCCTCTTTTTTTTTTTTTTTAATTTTTATTTATTTATGATAGCCACACACAGAGAGAGAGAGAGAGGCAGAGACACAGGCAGAGGGAGAAGCAGGCTCCATGCACCAGGAGCCCGACGTGGGATTCGATCCCGGGTCTCCAGGATTGCGCCCTGGGCCAAAGGCAGGCGCCAAACCGCTGCGCCACCCAGGGATCCCGAAGCTTTGCCTCTTAATATTTAAAAGAGCCTTGCAAGATCCTGGGTCCCAATGCCCTCCAAGCTTATGCATTCATTCCCTCCGTAACTATCAAGCACCTGCTGTGTGCTAGAACTACACGCATGATTTTATTGGGTTTTCATAACAGCACAACACAAAGAGTATTTTCTTTTAGTTTTACAGATGGGGAAACTAATGCTCAGAGACTTAGTTACTTGCTGGACATCCCCACCTTTGGGATTTGCACATAGGTTTGTTTGGACTTCTTTTTTTTTTCTTTTATTTACGATAGTCACAGAGAGAGAGAGAGAGAGAGGCAGAGACACAGGCAGAGGGAGAAGCAGGCTCCATGCACCGGGAGCCTGACATGGGATTCGATCCCGGGTCTCCAGGATCGCGCCCTGGGCCAAAGGCAGGCGCCAAACCGCTGCGCCACCCAGGGATCCCTTAAATTCCACATTTGAGTGAAATCGTGTGGTATTTGTCTTTCTCTGACAAATTCGCTTAGCATTATACTCTATAGCTCCAACCGCGTTGTTCTTGCAAATGGCAAGATTTCGTTCTTTTTTGTGGCTGAATAACATTCCATTGTATATATGTAACATCTTATTTATCCATTCATCTGTTAATGGACACTTGGGCTGCTTCTATGATTTGGCTATTGTAGATAATACTGCTGCCAATGTGGGGGTGCATGTGTCCCTTTGAATTAGTGTTGAGGTCTTGGATTCTGAGACTCACAGGGGCCTGCTATGTTGGTGGCACACCAGCAGAGGGCGCCTTGCTCTAACAAAAGGAGGTCCAGGCAGGGGTTGGGAGGGCGCCCCCCCATCAAAGCTCTGGCCTTCTAAGGACCCTGGGAGACAGGTTTCCACACCACGTGGCAGCAGGTAAATGTTTAACTTCCCTTGCCACGGGTAGAAACAGTCTTTTTTTTTTTTTTTTTTTTAATTTATTTATGATAGTCACACAGAGAGAGAGAGAGAGAGAGAGAAGCTGAGATACAGGCAGAGGGAGAAGCAGGCTCCATGCACCGGGAGCCCGACGTGGGATTCGATCCCGGATCTCCAGGATCGTGCCCTGGGCCAAAGGCAGGCGCCAAACCGCTGCACCACCCAGGGATCCCGGGTAGAAACAGTCTTAAATAGATTCAGGATCCCTTCCAGAATCAGAGAGTCCTATCTCAGGTGATGGAAAATAGAAGCTCTCAGGTTTTAGGGAACACCTGAGCAAAGGCTGGGAGGTATCCAGGGCCGATGGAGAATATGAAGAGAGTTTTCAGGAAGCATCTAGAATTCCCCACCACCCAACCAAAGCCCCACCCCCACCCCCCCCACCGCCCGTGTCTTCACGGACTTCATGGCAATCTGTCACTATTGGTTTGTTTTCTTCTTCAGCACCTAGGGCTGCCCGAGCATGGGGGACTCAAGGAGGGAAAGGATCACTCATGGGCTGAGTCCACGAGTATTGCTATTATGTCTATTTTTCGGGACTACAGATACCCAGAGAAGAGAAACAATGCCATAGGAGGGTGTCCAGATGTCCTCCATGCTGGGAGGGACCAGAGGGCTCCCAGGAGGGGTAAGTGGGGTCCGGGTCGAGAGAGAGAAGTTCTTGGGAAAGGATGCCTGGGCCCCACCCCCCCTCTCCCAGGCCCTGGCACACAGCTGGACTGAGGTCCTTGGCTACAGTCCCTTTTTTCCAAGAAGGGTGAGGTGGTTTGTGGGAAGCAGCCATAGGGGTTATTTATAGAGGTCACAGGAAATCCCTAAAGAGTCACAACCTCATCGGCTGGCTGAGCCACAGGGTCAGGGAGGGGGTCTGTGGATTGCTCCCCGACAGGGAAGTCCCTGCTGCCCTGCTCCTAGGGGAGCCACCAACTTGGGGGAGTCAGAGTTATATATGGTAGGTCTGTAGGAAGAGAGGGATGGAGCTGGGGATTCCCCCAGGGGGAGGAAGGGCTATACTTGGGGCAATCAGGAGGGCTGCCTGGAGGTGGGATCTCTGAGGGAGGGCCTTGGAGGAAGAAGAAAAAGGCATTTTAGTCTGAGAGCACAAATTAAGAGATAATCTTTAGAATTAAAGGTCCAGGGCAGGGGCGCCTAGGTGGCTAAGTCGGTTAAGCCTCTGCCTTTGGCTCAGGTCATGATCCTAGAGTCCTGGGATGAGCCCCATGTCATCTGATCATCTGGCTCCCTGATCAGCAGGGAGTCTATTTCTTCTTCTCCGTCTGCCCTTCCCTCTGCTCCTTCTCTCTCTCTCTCTCTCTCTCTCTCTCTCTCTATCTCTCTCTCTCTCTCACTGTCTCTCAAATAAATAAAATCTTTTTCAAAAAAATATTTTATTTATTTATTCATGAGAGACACAGAGAGAAGGCAGAGACAGGTAGAGGGAGAAATAGGCTCCTCGCAGGGAGCCCGATGTGGGACTAGATCCTGGAACTCCAGAATCATGCCCTGAGCTAAAGGGAGATGCTTGGGGCGGCCTGGGTGGCTCAGTGGTTTAGCGCCACCTTCAGCCCAGGGCATGATCCTGGAGACCCGGGATCGAGTCCCATGTCGGGCTCCCTGCATGGAGCCTGCTTCTCCCTCTGCCTGTGTCTTGACCTTTCTCTCTCTCTGTCTCTCATGAATAAATAAGTAAAATCTTAAAAAAAAAAAAAAAGAAGATCCAGGGCTGCTGAGTCAAGAACTTCCCTGGAAGTGGGAGTGGGGGTCGGGGACAGGGACACAAGAGAGCTGAGGAACCGGACTTTGTTCCCAGGGTAATGGGGAGCCACAGAGAATAGAGGGACATGGTCAGATCTCATGATGGAAAGGTGTCCCTGGACCAGCAGGGCTGGGCGTGGGGACCAGCTGGAGGGACGATATCCTGGGATGCTCTGGATGGGAGAGAACGAAAAATCAGGCCCGTGCACATGTGTCCAGAAAGTTTAGAACGATTATTTCTCAAATGAGAAAATGGAGGCTGAGACCAACTGAGTCAAGATTTAAATCCAGGGATGTCTGGCTCCAGAACCCAAAACTCAGACATCCTGTGGTGGCTGTGACTGGCTGGTGTCATCATCGTCTCCAGTCTCCAGCTGCCCAGGCAGTAGGCTTAGGGTCAGGGACGTCCTCACTTCCTTGGGGCCTCCAGACTGGCCCGTCTGGGCGGCCTGGCCTGGCTGACCCCCCTGCCCCGGCTTGGCGGGGCCCCAGCCGAGTGTTTCCTGCAGCAGGCGTCTCTCACCCGAGTTTCCGTATCCAGGAAATATCGCTCCTTTGTCCCTCCTGACTAGCCTGCCTTAAGCGTGGCTTTGCCAGCCCTGGCTCCTGGTGACTCATCCCCCTCCCTGTCTAGGGTCCCAGGGGGGTATGGACTGGGAGGGAATCAAGGCTGGGGCAGTGGGGATGGTGGGGGCTCGGGGGAGGTCAGGAGGGTGGAGGCAGCAAATGACAAGCTGAGATTCTAGAGCACAATTTTTAGGCCGCTTTCCTACTGATGACCATTTGCTTTGTTTCCTGAAGTTTTTCTTTTTAGGGATAAAATCCTAGAAATGGGGTTGCTGAGTCAATTAAATGTCACCAAACTAATTTCCAGAAGGGCCGTGATGAGATTTACATTTCTTGGGGTCCTGTAAGAAAATGCCTTTTCTCTACATCTTCACCAGCAGTAGGTACTATGGCTTTTTAAACCTTTTTTTTTTTTTTACCTCCTGTCTGGTGGGTACCATGGGATTTCCCTGTATTCCTCTAATGTACTTTTTCCTGTTTTCCCCACAAATTTAATGGTCAATCTGTTAAAGCACTCCCCAACTGGGCCCTTTCTGACATCCTGGTGCCCTTTCTGACATCCCATCTTGCCACAAAACAAGACAAAACAAATGGCCTGAGCCAGTAGTGATACTGTTCCTGAAGCCATTTTGGAGAGGAATTCCTCCTACGGTCGTGCCTCAGCAACTCTTGTCAGTACCTGGGGGAAATCTTCGCAAATCTTAGGAAGATGAAGCCACAGATGGATAACCTGTTTTTTTGTTTGTTTTTTTGTTTTTTTAGAAACTGCTTTTAAGTATCTGCTATTTTATTACTTTATTATTTTATTTTCATTTTTATTTATTTTAAATGCCCGCTACTTTATTTTTTTTTAATTTTTTTATTTATTTATGATAGTCTCAGAGAGAGAGAGAGGCAGAGACACAGGCAGAGGGAGAAGCAGGCTCCATGCACTGGGAGCCCGATGTGGGATTTGATCCCGGGTCTCCAGGATCGCGCCCTGGGCCAAAGGCAGGCACCAAACCGCTGCGCCGCCCAGGGATCCCCAAATGCCCGCTACTTTAAAGAAACACTAAATTGACAACAAAGTTGTCACAATGTGGGACTTTTGAGCCACTTGGTGAAACCCTCACTGACTAGGGTTCTTGCCATTTCTCTTCACGTACAGAGATGCCTCTAGATGCCTCTACTTTGAGGGAAGCTGATGTCGCCATAGGCTTGTCTTGGTTGCAGGCTCTTCTGGCCTGGGGACAGGCTGGGAGGTCAGGGTGTGGGGTGTGGGCTCCTAGCTTGCAGTCTTTTCTCATAGCATCATTAGGTGGTAACTTTTCAAAGCAGAAATCACCACTCTGGGGACACGAGGGTCAGTGGTTGAATGTCTACCTTTGATTCAGGTCATGATCCCCGGGGTCCTGGGATCCAGTCCTGCATCGGGCTCCCGACATGCAGCCTGCTTCTCCCTCTGCCTGTGTCTCTGCCTTTCTCTATGTCTCTCATGAATAAATAAATAAAAACTTAAAAACAAACAAACAAACAAAGAAAACAACAAAGGGTAGCCAGGGTGGCTCAGTGGTTTAGTGCCCCCTTTGGCCCAGGGTGTGATCCTGGAGACCGGGGATCGAGTCCTGCTTTGGGCTCCTTGCATAGAGCCTGCTCTCCCTCTGCCTGTGTCTCTGCCTCTCTCTGTGTCTCTCATGAATAAATAAATCAAATCTTTAAAAAAAGAAAAAGAAAAAAAAGAAATCACCACTCTGGAATCTTTGAAAGGATTCAGTAATATTTATTTAGTGCCACTAGCATTTATATGGGCCACAGGCCGGGCTAGGTGTGGACGGGAGGGAGGGACTCTGATGGGGCCTGTGGGTGACATTGGCCCTGGGCTCAGGTGCGGCCTGGCAGGGGAGCCAGGAGACTGTCCCTGAGGGGACGGAGGCTAATGTCTCCCGTTCCTGCTTCACTAGGCCTGACACCCTGGGGGTGAGGAGTCAGAAGAGGAGAAAACTGGAGGGCGGTGTGGCAAGGGCACAGAGGTGGCAGATGGGTATGGTGCTGCGGTCGCCTGGGCCCGAGTGCGTGGGAGGGTGTGACATCGGGCAAGGGCTGGGCGGAGGTGTGCATGTGCGGGTATGTGACGTCGGCACTGCATCTGTGGGTGACATCCTCCCTGTGTCTGTGTGGCACCACTGCCGCGTTCTTGTGTGATGCCATCGCCTGGTCTGTGTGATGTCACTGCATCTTCGTGTGACGCCACTGAGGTATCGCTGTCTCAGGTGAGAGATCAGGCGGGCAGGTGTGGGCCGGTGAGAAGGTGTTGGGGGTGCGGTGGGGTGGAGGGGAGGACGAGTGTGGGGTCCGGGCCGTGGGTGTGTGCGGGAGTCGGTGCGGTGGCCCCAGCTGCTCGTGTGCCCGGGGCGTCTCGCTGCGCGGAGTCCGCAGACTGGCCAGTCGGGGCCGCACCTCGGTCCTCAGGGGCCAGAGCCTCGTCAGCCACTAGGGCAGGAAGGAGATGGTAACACAATAGTCAGACAGACAGACAGACGGAAGGACGAACCTTGCCTGGGCCCACCTCCTCCCACCGCAGGCCCCTTCTTGCTACCAAGGACTCTTGGGCTCTTTCGGGGTTCAGCCTTCCCATGAGACTCGGACCTGCTGAACCTCTCTGGGAGGGGGGGACTGAGACGTGGGCCTCCTCATTAGACAGATCAAGAGCCAGCGGTCAGAGAGGCCACCTTCCGGCGCCGGGCCTCTGCTGCATTTTACCTTTGCTTCCCAAGGCCGGTGGGATCCTGGGAGTCTGCCCCAAAGCCCCTGTCTACACCCCTACCCCTCAGACAGGGCCTCGGGTCTCCCTCCTTTGTCTCCGCAGCACCCCCCAGGGCCAGCCCCTCACTCATTCCCAGGAGGGTTTTTCCAAGGGGCCTGCCCCTCTCCACACACTCTCCCTGGTTCCCCTGTGCCCTGGAGACCAAGCCAGATCCTTTCTACCCGGCATTCAAGGCTCCACCCACTCTGTCCCTACCAGTCCTCTTCATGAGAAACTCAAACCCTGCCACAAAGTCCCCCCAGATCTCGAGAGGCGTGGCTTCACTTCACCCCTCCCCCTGCCTTCGCAGGAGCCATCCTGCTGTCTGGGATGCCCTTCCCCCTCCTTGGCCTAGCAAAGGTTCTCGTGAGGGGTCAGGGGTTGGCTCAAACGCTGTTTCCTGGTCTGGGAGGAGGGGGCCTCAGCCAAGTGCTGCTTCCGCTGGCCCCCTCCCTTCCTTCCCCGGCTCTTCCCTGGGGCCAAGCCGCCTCACGTTCCTTGGCTGCCTCTGGCCCCCCTCCCTGGCTCCAGCTTGACCAGGATTCACCAGGCTCCCGGCCAGCCCTGACTTACATTCTTCGCCAGCTCCTGCCCACCAGCCTGCAAGGCAGGGGGGTCCCTGGCTCCAGGCCCATCATCACATGCCTGGAGCAGCACAGTGGGCTTCGACCCCCCAACAGTGACCAGAGCAGGCCTGTGAACACCTGGGTCCCGTCCTGTCCTCCTCGGCTCACCACTGTCCCGGGGCTCCCCAGGTTTTCCCTGCTGCCACTGGCCCCGCCCGATCTGAGCCCCCTGCACCCCCTCCCTTCCTACTCAGACACCATGCCCCCCCCCCCCCACCGCCAGACACACCAGCCTCCTCTCCCCAGGCCTTGGCATAGGCTGTGCTCTCTGCCTGGTTCACTCTTTGGGGGACCCCCCCACCCCTGTGGTTCCTCCCTCACCTCCTCCTGTTCTCTGCCCCAACTTCACCCTCGTTCAGGGCAGAGAAGCCTCCCTGGCCCCTCACGCCGCCAAGGGGCCCTGTGACAGCAGCTCATTCATCTGGTTGGTCCTCCGATTGCCCCCCAGCTAGACTGGGAGCCCCACAAGGGCAGCGGCTTCTGTGCCTATTCGTCCCGAGTCCTCCTCACCCAGCAGCTGCTCCAGACACACGGGTTGTGTAAACGAACCGAATCACAATAGTGATGGCCATGAACTTGAGCCACACTCGCTGTGTGCCCGGCCCGGCTGGGAGCCAGGGCTGGACTTCCATCCTCAACCTTCCACACTGTACCTTTTGCCCCTAAACCAGACTTCCAATGTGTCTTCACATCAACCGTGTGTGTCCCTGTCGCTGTCTGGGTTTAACTTAAATAAATCCATAGCCAGAGGACACAGTTTTACCGGGTAAAAAGGAAAACTAGTACATTTGCCATCAGGAGAAAACGACTTAAAGATGTCCAGCAAAAAAGCGAGACGTGATTGGCGTGGGCTAACCCGCGAGTGGCTGGCCTCGCTGGGGCTCCAAGCCAGAGCTGATGGGCCCTTTCTTTTGGGACCATGAACCAAGGCTGGAGCCCAGGGAGCCGGAGGCCCTTCCTGAGACCCTGCAGAGAGGCTGCGGGAGGGGCCCTGCTTAAGTACTCATTGTTTTCTCGGTAGAGGGATGTCTTTTGGGGTAAACAATCTCAAGAGCTTCCCCTTTCTCTGCTGGGATGGGCCTGGGCTGGGAGCCTGGCTCTGGCCCTGACTCAGTGACGCAGGACCCCAGGCTGGTCACTTCCCTGGGGCCTCAGTTCCCTCCTCTGAGAAGTGGGGATAAGAATAGAACCTTCTTCCTTGCCATGATGGCATTGGGCCAAGATGGAGAGAGGAAAACTGCTTGGAGCAGGGTCTTCTCTCCACCCTCTGGCTTCTCTCTCAGTGAGCTGCTGGGGGGTGGGTGGGGGTGAGGGATTTCTCCCAGACAGAGCCATCCGGAGTGAAGGGACAAGTTCCGCAAGGAGGTGAGCTCCCTGTCAGAGGGGCTATGTAAGAAGAGGCAGAGTGGAAATGGAGCTGGAAGTAGAGGACCCCTGGGATTTGAAGACAGACCTCTGGAAGTCTGTTTGTCCCCAAAGCCTACATTTAAGGCTAAAACAGACCAGGGGGATAATAGCGTTGCTGGCAGAGCCCTGTTTGGCATAGGCTTGGGGTCGGAGGGATGTGACTTAAAATCCCAGGTGTCTCTTTGAGCCCTGAGTCCCAAACTGTGAATGGCAGTGCTCATCCCAGACTCCTTGGCCAGCGATGTGATCCTGAACCCCTGAACTGGGAGCATGGCCACCACCTGGGAGGGAGCACAGGATGTTCTTGGGGCGGTGGCCTGAGTCACCTTCCCTGTGATGCACATGCCGTGCTCTGGGAGGTGGCGGGGGAGGGGTGGTGGTGGGTGTTGGTGGTACTGGCACCGAGTTCTGAACTGGGTGTCCGAGTCCTGAACTGGGTGTCCGCTGACGGGTGCCCTGGTGCGCCCTGCTGCAACCCCCGGCCCCTTGGTTTAGGCATTTGTGGACAGCACTTTACAGTTAGCAAAGAGTTTCTGTGCCCTTGATTTCGGAGACCTCCATTTTTGTAGAGGTAGAAAGAGAGGCTCAGAGGGGAGGGGTGAGAGGCCCAGGGTCTTCAGCTGTCCCTCCTCCCTTCCACTGCTCCAGCCACCCTCCCCAGCCACATCCTCCAGCACAAAGGCCTCCTCCCCACCAAAGCCCTCTCTTGCCTGCCTGGACTCCAATAGCCTGGGTTCTTGTCTCCAGCTCTGCACTCCCCAGCTGGGTGATCTGGGCCATGATGCACACCCTCTCCGTGCCTCACTTATTTAGTCTGGAAAGCGCCAATAACAGTGGCTTGCCCACTGATTAGGGTTATGAGCATTGGGTGAGTTAATCTTGCAGAGTGAGTTCAACTGTGAACTCACAGTAAGCACCTCATAGTTGCAGGCTCTTGGTCTCTCTCTCTCTCTTTTTTTGTGGCTCCTTCATTGTTTCTCTCACCCCCTATTCAGGGAGTTTAATGAACGGATCTGTGTGGGTCTTGGTCACTGTGTGTCCCCAGGACCCAGCCTAGGGCCTGGTATACAGCAGGCACTCAATTAAGGAAGCAGCAAGTGGGAGATGAGCCTCCCTTCCCCCTTAGTCCTGTTCCCAGCCTCCTCTGAAGCCCTGAGACTGAACCATCTCAGTCTGCCCAGTGTCTCACCTGGATGGGGCTACAGCATTGGCTGCAGGGGGCCTCTGGGACTCCAGGATCCTTCTCTTGAATTCCTCCAGGCCAGCTGGGTCTGCCGCGAGAGGGACGAGTCAGCTCCAACCAACTGCCCCAACCCTGGGCTAGGGATGGGCTGGCAGCCCCTATAGCAGGGCTGAGACGGGGTAAGAAGTAGAAAGGACCATCCCGACCCCCTTCCTGGCCCTGCCTTCTGTTACTCACCAATGGGCTGGGGGTTGGGGGCAGGGCCCGCAGGTCTTGGTATAGGTATCGGCTGTGACTGTGGGAGGAAAGATGGAGAGAGGTTGGCAGAAGCTGGGACCCCTGTACCAGAGTGCCAGGGAGGCTCCCCTCCTCCATGCTCTTCAATACCTGAGTCTGAGCTCCTTCCAGGGCAGATACTGGAGAAAGACACCCACACTAATGGATGTACAACCACCTGCACCCACCTCCCCACAAAGGACTGGGGACCCCAGGGACTGGCTTTCCTTGGAAGGCCACCCAGAGACTCTGCCGTGACCTGCTCCAGTCTCCGCTATAGTCTTAGTTCCAACCCAGTCCCAATTCATGACCCCAACAGAGTCCACCCACCCAACACCCAGCACACCCCCCTTCGAGGTTGAAGCTGACCCACTCTGTAAACCAGCTGCCTTCCCTCCCACAACCCTGTGCCTGAAATCCAAAACCAGCTCTAAACTCAATCACCCGACATCTAATCCCTACATGAAAACAGAACCTTCCTTAGAATCAAACCCCGACCTAAACCCAATCCTAATGACAAACCTGATTTAACTATAACTTTATATCTAAGTCTGACCCAACGCATTCCTTAGACCTGGCTGCTATGAAAAATGCACCCCCATCCTCCTTCCCGCCGCCCAGCCCTGGGCTCCACCATGGCCACCCATAAACACCTTCCCAGCACCACGCTCATCCCAACTCAGCCTTAGACCCTAGCCTCTACCCCATATGGAACCCCAAACCAGCCCCACCCCAAGATCAGCATCTGTACAGTTTCTTCTCAACACCCAGCCCTGACCCTCACCCTGTCCCAGGTTCCCTACCCTAACTCAGGGTCACCCAATCCTTCATTTCAAATATATCCCGACGTCAGCCCAATTTCATCCATTTCTCAGCCAGCCGCCCTAAACCAAAACCAACTTCAACTGCTAACCCGTGGTCAACACCAATCCCAATCCTAATGCCCATGAAATTCTAAGTTCACCTTTGGCCCCAAACTTCTAATCATCTCTAGACCCACCAGCCACCTACACTCACCTGAGCTTCGACTCCAGCTTTGGTGCTTCTACACAACCCAACTGCAGAGCCACTGACATCCTACACCCAAAGCTAGACTCACCGGCCACCCTGCATGTGACCCCTGATCTACCTTTCAAGCTTTCCTCACAATCCAAACTCAACACAACCCTGGTTCTAAGACTGATGTAATCTTCAATGGAGCCCTAACTCCAACTCAAACCGACTCTGAACACAGCATTCCCAAGAACTCACCTTGATACAAACACAGACTCTGCTCCACACCAAGCCTTCCTCTAGACCAGCCTTAATCTTCAGTCTAACTGCCAACGTAAGCCTTCAACTCAGACACATCCCAACCCTGACACGAACACTCCACGAATCACCAGTCCTCACCCTGAATGAATTTTGAGGCCCACCAGCCACCCCAAACTCAATCTCAATCCTTAATCCTCTCTCAGTGTCATTGCAAACTCCATCCCAATCCTATGTCAGTGAAACTCTCAAGTGAGTTAACTCACCAGACCTAGACTGGGAAGCCCAACTCAAACCCAAGTTAGACATCACCACCAACATGGCCCCCAGACCCGACTCCAATGCAACCTGAATTCAGGGCCCTCTCGCCCACCTTGGCCTTGATGCAGGTGTCCAAGGCGGAGTTGCTGACGGCCAGCTGCATTCTGAGCTGCTCTGCGTCCCGCTTCTTCTCCTCCAGCTCCTTCGCCAGGCTGTCTCTCTCCTTCCGCAGCGTTGCCTTCTCCTCCAGAGCTAGCTGTGTCTGCCGGGCGCATTCAGCCTGGAGCTTGGCCTCCCGAGCCTGGGCCTCCTTCTCCAACTTCTCCTTGGCCTCCTGACTTGCCTTCAGGGCCTGCTCAACCTCCAGCTTCTGGCGCTGGATGTCCGCGTTCTCGCGGGCCACACGCTCTATGCCAGCCCGCAGGCTCCGGGCCAGCTCCTCCACCTTGGTGCTCATGAGGGTGGGCATGTGGTCGCAGCTTCTCCGGATGGAGGTTATTTCTGAGCCCAGAGGATGGTACAGATTATAGCTCATGGTGTCCAGGGTCCGTGGGATAATGGAGTCCCTCCAGAGGTTACGCAGCTCCGTCTCAAACTTGTCCTTGTCCAGCGGGAGGCAGAGGGTCTGCACCTTTTGCAAGCGATCCTCAGCCAGCTGTCGCTCCTGCCGCTGCTGCTCCCGGGCCTTGCCACACTCGGCCAGCTGCTCCTCCACCACGCGCTTGCTCAGCACCAGCGCCTCCTTGTCTTTAGTGCACACTTGCTTCTCCTTTGCCACCTCCATTTCCAGCGTCTTGGCCTTCTGGTTCAGCATGAGGAAAAGGGCTACAGGTACAGGATAATAAATCTCAGGAAGGTTGTGGGTAGCCAAGACACCGGGTGGGGAATCTACCACCCTTGCTCCCTAACACCCAGACCACTCACCATTACAGCTCTTGTTGGTCTCCTTAAGTTGTTCTTGGCACTGCTTTTCACTCAAGATAATGGCCACCATGTACCGCTGGTTGTTCATGTAGACCACCTAACCGGATGGGACACAGGTCAGAGCTCACAGTCTGCCCCCTGCGGGTCCCCTTGCTCCTGGTTAGCCCAGACCCTCTGGGCTGAGGGATCCGATTCCACATCCAGGTGGCCTGGGTTGGCCCAGTTCACAAGGGCATAGCTCCTTTATAGGGGATGCTGGCTGGATCTTCAAAAGTTGTTACAGTTAGGGGCATCTGGGTGGCCCAGTTGGTTAAGTGTCTGCCTTTAGCTCAGGTCATGATCTCCAGGTCCTGGGATCAAGTCCTGCCTTGAGCTCCCTGCTCAGTGGGGAGTCTGCTTCTCCTTCTCCCTCTGCCCCTCTCACTGCTCATGCTCTCTCTCTCTCTCATAAACAAAAAAAAATTTTTTAAGTTGTTATAGTTAATACTATTTGGCAATGATAAAGAAGAAAGCACTGATACACACTACAACTTGGATGAACCTTGAAAACATTAATTCACATTTGTGGCCAATGACTTTTTGACAACAATGCTGTTACGAACTGAATTGTGCCCCCCTCATTCATGTGTTGAAGTCTGGACCCCCAGGACCGCAGAATGTGAGAGTATTTGGAGATAGGGTCTTTAAAGACGGGATTAAATTAACATGAGGTCATGAGGGGGGCTCTAATCCAGGATGATTGGTGTCCTTATAAGAGGGAATTTGGACACCCAGAAATGCACAGAGGGAAGATGATGTGAAGACACAGTGAGAAGGTGGCTATCTACAAGGCAAGGAGGGAGGCCTGGAACAGACTCTTCCTTCCTAACCCTCCAAAGGAACTCACATCTTGACCTCGTGTGTGTGCAAAAACAAATTTCTATTGTTCAAACCACCCAATTTGTGGCAGCCCTAGAAAATTAGGCAAAATCATTCCATGGGGGAAAAAGTCTTTTTTTTCTTTTTGGAAAAAGTCTTTTCAACAAATGGTGCTGGCACAGCTGGATCTCCACATGTTAAGCAATGAATTTGGACCCTTACCTCACACCACATGTAAATATTAACTCAAAATGGCTCAACGACCCAAATGTAAGAGCTAAAGTCATAGAACTCTTTAGAAGAAAACATAGGTGTTAACTCTGCATGACCTTGGATTTGGCAATAGTTTCTTAGATGTGATACCAAAAACACAAAGAGAAAAACTAATCAATTGGACTTTGTTAAAATTAAAAACTTTTGTGCTTTAAAATATTCTTTTTTTAAAAAAGATTTTATTTATTTATTCATGAGAGACCCAGAGAAAGGCAGAGACATAGGCAGAGGGAGAAGCAGGCTCCTAGTGGGGAGCCTGATGTGGAACTCAATCCCAGGACCCTGGGACCATGACCCTAGTCAAAGGCAGACATTCAACCACTGAGCCACCCAGGTGTACCTAAAGAATTCTACCAAGAAAGGGAAAAGACTGTTAAATCACTGTGTTGTAGACCTGAAATTGATGTAATGTTGTGTGTCAACTATACTTCAGTTAAAAAAAAAGTAGAAAGGGAAAAGACAACCCATAGATGGGAGAAAATATTTCCAGAGAATGTATCTGATGATAGGATTAGTATCTAGAATATACAAAAGTAAACTCTTATGGATCAATAGTAAAAAGATAACTTAATTGAAAAAATGGGCCAAGTATCTGAAATATTCCTTCAAAGAAGATACACATGTGGTTGACGGGCACATCAAAGAATATTCACCATCATTAGTCATCAGGGAAATGCAAACAAAAACCACCATGAGATTCCGCCTTCCAACCAGGAGGATGGTTATAAATGAAATGGAAAACAAAAACAGAGAGTAACACGCATTGGTGAGGCTGTAGAGAAATGAGAAATTCCAGGTAGTACTGGTTGGAATATAAAAATGGGGCAGTGGGGGATCCCTGGGTGGCTCGGCGGTTTAGTGCCTGCCTTTGGCCCAGGGCGCGATCCTGGAGTCCCGGGATCGAGTCCCACGTCGGGCTCCCTGCATGGAGCCTGCTTCTCCCTCTGCCTGTGTCTCTGCCTCTCTCTCTCTATCATGAATAAATAAATAAATAAATCTTTAAAAGAAAATGGGGCAGTGGTTTTGGAAACAGTCTGGCAGTTCCACAAAATGTCACACATAGAATTACCATGTGACCCAGCAATTCCACTTTTGGGTATATACCCAAGAGAAATTGAAGCATAGGTCCACATGAAGACTTTTATATGCATGTTTATAATAGCACTAGTCACAATCACCCAAAGGTGGAAACAACCCAAGCATCCATCAACAGGGGAACGGACAAAATGTGGTCCATCCACAGAATGGAATATTACTCAGCCATAACAAGGAACGAAGGAAGCCCTGACACACACTACAACATGGGTGAGCCTTCCAGACATCATGTTGAGTGATAGAAGCCAGACACAAAAGGACACCTGTTGTAGGATCCCATTTATACAAAACATCCAGAACACAGAAGGACACCTTATGACCCCATTTATACGAAAATTCATAGAGACAGAAATCAGTGGTTGCCAGGGGCTGGGGGAGGGGGCAGGATGGGGAAATGACCACTCATGGAGACAGGGCTTCTTTTTTAGAGCAATGAAATGTTCTAAAACCAATTGTGATGATCACCCAGCTCTGTGAAGGTGCTACAAATGATTGAACCATACACTCTTAATGGATGAGCTGTAGAGCATCTGAATTGTATCTCAATAAAGCTGTTTTCATTTTTTAAATTTTAAAATATTTTTTAAATATATTCGAGAGAGAGAGACACACAGAGAGAGGCAAAGACACAAGCAGAGGGAGAGGCAGGCTCCATGCAGGGAGCCAGATGTGGGACTCGATCCCGGGACTCCAGGATCATGCCCTGGGCTGAAGGTGGGCGCCAAACCGCTGAGCAACCTGGGCGTCCCAATAAAGCTATTTCTAAAGGAAGTTCTTACAATTCGACAAGGTGTGTTTTCCAAACTGTGGAACAGAATCCTCTGCAGAAATATTGCAAGTAAAGCGATGAAGAATGCAGTGGGTTGGCCTTTCTGCCATTCCTTGTCCTTATACCTTTGGAAGCTGGCCCTATGCTCATGACCCCGGGGTTAGGGGGAAGGCAGAAATAGCTCTGGAAGTTCTAGTGATTTTTGTTCTCAAAAAGCCACAGAAGAGGAAGATCTGTAGGTTTCAACAAAATGAGTTGGATCCAAACATGAGATGAGAAAGAGGCTTTCTTCCTGTAGGAGGAAGTGAAAAAAGGAATGAGGCCTGGGACCTCGTTTTTTTTTGTTTGTTTTTGGAAGATTTTATTTATTTATTCATGAGAGACACAGAGAGAGAGAGACACAGAGACACAGGCAGAGCCAGAAGCAGACTCTATGCAGGGAGCCTGATGTGGGACTCGATCTCCGGACTCCAGGATCACACCCTGACCCGAAGGCAGGCACTCAACCGCTGAGCCACCCAGGCATCCCAATGATGAAATATTTCTAAAATGCACACCCAGCATAAGGCAGATAGAAGCTATTCGTACTTCTTACTGAGTAAGAACCAAAGACTCTGATTTTTTATTTAGCCAGCTCTTATTCATAGCTGGTATGTGCCGGCACATTCTGAGCACGTTATGCATATTAAATCACGGGCCCACAGTGATGCCAATCCACAGTCAGTTAAACTTAAGTTCCAGATAAATAAAGAGTAAATTATTTTAGGATGAGTGTGTCCTCAGGGTACCTGGGTGGCTCAGTGGTTGAGCATCTGCCTTCAGCTCAGGTTGTGATCCGGGGTCCTGGGATCAAGACCCACATCAAGTTCCCCACAGGGAGCCTGCTTCTCCCTCTACCTACGTCTCTGCCACTCTCTGTGTCGCTCATGAATAAATAAATAAATAAGTAAAGGTAAATGTGTCCCCAATATTGTGTGGGAAATACTTGTACTAACACAATAAGCATTGCTTATCCACATGGGCTCCTCACATGCAATATAGAGCCTGTGACTGTCTCTGGCTCATGGACGAGGGAACCGAAGCTTGGATGGATGATGTGACCAGCCCAGAGTTCCCAGGGTGAGCGTCCGGCCTGAGGCCTTACCCGGTCAGCCTGGCACTGGCGGAAGCTGGCGTTGATCCGGTCCAGGTCGCGGCGGGCATTCAGCAGCAGTTGCATGATGGTCTCCTTGGCGCGGGAGGTGAGGTTGAGCTCCTTGGACAGGTTGGCCTGGGAGGCCGTGAGCCCCACGACCTGGCTGTACAGGCCCTCGGCCCGGCGCTCTGTGGCCTGCAGGTTGGATTCTGTGCTCACATGCACGTTGCCGTAGACCATGAAGAGGACGAGGCCCAGGATGATGAGAAACTGGATGAGCGACACGAAAAGGAAAAAGTAGCGCAGGTAGTACCAGCAGCCCCGGGGGCTGCCCCCTGCCCGCGCGTAGGCTCCTCCGTGCTCCACCGGCAGGCCCATCTCGCCCGACCGCTGCCTGGTCACCCACGCTGCTCAGCCCTGCGGCCTGCTCTGGGTGGCGGCAGCTGCCCCTCTGCACCCTGCACCGAGGGGGGGAGTGTTTATATTACTCCTCTTAATACTTCCTCTGCCTGGCTCCTTCCTGACCGGGAGGAAATGAGGGCTGTGGGTTATCACAACACTCCCACCCTGGCTGTGAAGGGAGGGGCTGCGGCGGTGCTTCTGGCCTTCTGGTAGCCACTGGGTGGGGCACCAGCTGGGTGGCAGCGCTTGCTCGGCCACCCCGAGCCTCAGTTTCTCCCCTGCCCTTGCTCTGTGTCAAGTGCAGTTCTCGGCACTGGCTGCATAGTATCTCCTGTCGTGGCCCCTGTCTCATGGAGAAGGAAACTGAGGCACAGGGAGGCAAAGGGACTGTGGTGAGTCTCCCACCGGTGGTTCGCAGAGCTGGCCTTACCTCCTGGTGGACTAGCTACAGATGTGTGGCCACCTTGTGAGCTAAGTCAGGTGGAGCGCTTGGCCCAGAGCCAGGCACGCGGTAGGTGTGCATTCGTGGGGCTCTTCACAGAGGGCGGATGCATGGGTGGCAGTGGCCGAGGCCCCCTGGGCTGTCTGCCCACCCGTTGCCCTGTTCGAAAAGGTGCTGTGTTAAGTACTCCTCGAACAGCAGCATAAGCAGCGGTGAACTTGGAGCTGAGACAGCAGGCTTGGCCCAAGGGAGCTCAAGGGAGGGGCTTCTCCTGTCTGTTCTCAGTTTCCCCTTCTGTGAGATGGGTATCCCTGTGGGATCCCTTGGTTACAGGGCCAGGGAGGGGGGTTTTAAGAAAGGGCTTGCTGTTTTGTTATTACTAGCATTTCCTCCTGGAAGTGTTATTTCTGGGCTCTGTGCGATGGTGAGTGGGAAGTGCCAGATAGGTGGGGGGTTGAGCTTCACTAGGGGTCAGCCCTTGGGGTGGGCAAGAGGGGGATTTGAGGACCAAGGAGCAAAGGATTTTGTGTGCCCTCCTGGCTATCCCCCCAGAACCAGGAACTCCAGGAAAACCCTCCATGCTGGTTGAGGTGTCAGCGTCAGACCTGATGAAGGGACCCTCAGGGAGACAGAGTGGGACACAGCCCCTAGTTCCTTGGGGTCAAGGCTGGTAGGAGGGAGGGATGGGGGCTGATGGCAAAGAGGCCAGCGTGTGGAGAGGATGCTGGACAAAAACACCATTGCTGTACGCTGCTTTGGGGGGCTCAGTAGGGTGAAGGGTGCCTTGTGGAGAACCATCCCCCCATCATCCAGGTTAATGGAGTGGGGGGTAGTCGACATCAGAGAGGGGGTCCTCCAGGATGGTGTTCATCAAAGAGGCAGGAGTTGAGCTGGGAAGGAGGAAGTTCCCAGGGGTAGGCAGGAAACCCCAGTCTGACCTTTGGCCTTTGCAGCTACCCAGTGATTCCTGATTCCGGACCCTTCCCAGAGCCTAGCTAGGGGGAGGAGGGTTGGGGGCTGCAAGTGGTGCCCAACCAGCTATTTCTCTGGGTTGGCCAGGCCCACCCAGAGTCCCCTTGAGCAGAATGGGAGGAGGACATCTTCCATCTTTGCTAATGGGGGCCATGTAGGCAGAGTGACTATGTGGTTTTAATTTAGGCTCTGGAGTTAAGTTCTGGCTGTGCCACCTATCACCATGTGTCCTCAGACAAGTGATTTTCCTTCCTTAAGTCTCAGTTTTCTCCCGTCTAAAGTGGAGGCAACATAGCCAGTCATGAAATACTTGTCACAGTGTCTATCACTGTGACAGACAGTAACCCCTTAATAAATGGGGTTACTTTAATAAATGGGGGTACTTTTTTAAGGCACGAGAGGCAGGATCATGTGCAGCCTCTGATGCCAGGTTGTGAAATTGATATGTAGGGGAGGGACACTGCCTCCAAGTAGTGGTCCTTGAGGTCTGTGGGAGCAACGAGTAGAAAAGAGCATGATAGGTGTACAGCCTGGGTAAGGTGGGTCCAGTGGGGATGCTTAGACATGGGGGCAGTGCCTGGGTCAATACCAGTAGGTGTGACAGTCTTGGTGTATAATTAAGATCCTATCTATTCTCCGTGATATATTGAAAATGTTGCATACATGTATATGAACATGATATCTGTTGTCAAGGAAAAAGAAAGGCAACCATAATTTCCCAGAAAATTAAAAAGCCACCCTAGATCCAATGGTACAGTTTTGAGTAATTGTCACAGTGTAAGAAAATTTTTTAATTAATTAATTAAAATATTTTATTTATTTATTCATGAGAAACACACAGAGAGAGGCAGTGACATAGGCAGAGGGAGAAGCAGGCTTCCTGCGGGGAGCCCTATGTGGGACTAGATCCTGGGACTCCAGGATTATGCCCTGAGCCAAAGGCAGATGCTCAACTGCTGAGCTACCCAGGCGTCCCTATTTATTTATTCTTAAAAGATTTACTTATTTATTTGAGAGAGAGAGAGAGAGAGAGAGAGAGAGAGAGAGAGAGAATATAGAGGGAGAAGCTGACTCCCTGCCGAGCAGGGAGCATGATATGTGGCTTGATTCCAAGACCCTGAGATCATGGCCTGAGCTAAAGGCAAATGCTCAACTGACCAAGCCACCCAGGTGGCCCTGTTCTTTTAATTTTTAAATTACTTAATTAATTAATTTGAGAAAGAGAGAGAGAGAGCTTATTTGTGTGAGTGGGGTGGAGGGGCAGAGGGAGAGGGAGACAGAAAGAATCTTTTTTCTTTTTGTTTTTTTTTTAAGATTTTATTTATTTATTCATGAGAGACATAGTGAGAGGGGCAAAGACCTAAGGGAGGGAGGGAGAAGCAGGCTCACTGTGGGGAGCTTGATGCAGAACTCCATCCCAGGACCCCAGGATCATAACCGGAGCCAAAGGCAGATAGATGCTCAACCACTGAGCCACCCAGCTACCCCATACAGAGAGAATCTTAAGCAGGCTCCATGTGTGAGGCTCAATCTCATGACCCTGAGATCATGACCTGAGCCAAAATCAACAGTCAGGGGGATCCCTGGGTGGCTCAGCGGTTTGGCGCCTGCCTTTGGCCCAGGGTGCAATCCTGGGGTTCCGGGATCGAGTCCCACGTTGGGCTCCCGGCATGGAGCCTGCTTCTCCCTCTTCCTGTGTCTCTGCCTCTCTCTCTCTCTCTCTCTCTCTCTCTCTCTGTCTCTCTCTCCCTCTCTCTGTCTATCACGAATAAATAAATAAATCTTAAAAAGAAATCAAGAGTCAGACGTTTAACCATCCGAGCCATCCAGGTGCTCTAGAAACAGAGTTTTAAATATACACACTGATGTCATTTGTATCAAGCTCAAAGACAATATTTTTTTTAAAAGATTTTATTTATTTATTCATGAGTGACACAGAGAGAGGCCGAGACATAGGCAGAGGGAGAAGCAGGCTTCCTGCGGGAGCCTGACAGGGGACTGGATCCCAGGACTCCTGGATCACAACCTGAGCGAAAGACAGACGTTCAACCACTGAGCCACCCAGGTGCCCCTCAAAAACAGTATTCTATCTTTTTTTTGTAATTTGACCTCACATCTTTGATTTGCAATGTTTCTTTTCTGAATAGTTTGTTTTATTAGCTAGGTCTTTTTAAGTGGAAAGAGGAATGATGAAACTTCCTGTTTTTACTCAACATTATGTCTTCAAGACTTATTGATTGCTTTTGCCCGAGGCTTAGGTTTTCATCACATACGTTACCATAGTAACTATCAATGGGCAATTTAGATTGTTTCTAAATTTTTTGTTTCAGTGAACAAAATAAGATTTGATATCCAAATCCCCACAAATGAAACTGCTGGGTCCCGAAGCAGTCACATCTTCTATTTTGACAGCTAGTCAACAATTTGTCCTCCAGAGGTAGTTTCCACTGACACTCCTGCCAGCAGTGTCTAAAATCTCTAAAAACAGACTCTTTGAACATATTTGCCTGTGTCCCTGTCCAGAAAACCCCAGAGGGAGGAAATAAGTGACATATCTTTGGATTCTTATGAGGTTAAATGCATTGGTCCTGATGGGAGCATTTGGTTTTTTCCTGAAAACAATTTGTCATGTTCACAGGAAATTTTGTGCATGAACCCCTCTGAATTCCCTTGGAGGGTCACCACAAAATCTGGCTTTGATTTTAAATTTCTGTTTGTTTGCTTTCTAAGTTATTTTTATCTATTTTTTTTTAAGATTTTATTTATTTATTCATGAGAGAGACACAGAGAGAGGCAGAGTCACAGGCAGAGGGAGAAGCAGGCTCCCTGCAGGGAGCTGGACTCAGACCCCAAGACCCAGGGATCATGATCTGAGCCAAAGGCAGACACTCAACCCCTGAGCCACCCAGGCGTCCCTGTTAGTTTTCTAAATTAAAAACAATCAATTTGATTTTATGTGTTTGTTTGGGCACAGAAGGGAAAAGTGTTATGAGGAAGTCAGCTTCGTGTCATTACCTAAAACTGACACTGAAATTCTCAAGGAGACACAGGATTTTTAAAAACCCTCACAGAGGGGTGCCTGTGTGGTTCAGCAGGTTAAGTGTTCACCTTCAGTTAAGTGTCCGCCTTTGGCTCAGGTCCTGACCTCAGGGTCCTGGAATGGAGCCTCACCTCTGCTCCCTGCTGTGTCGGGAGTCGGCCCCTCCCCTCCGCCCTCCCTCATGCTTGCTCTCTCTCTAAAATAAATAAATACAATCTTAAATTTTTCTTTAAAGATTTTATTTATTTATTCGAGAGAGAGAGAGAGAGAGAGAGAGAGAGAGAGAGAGAGGCAGAGACACAGGCAGAGGGAGAAGCAGGCTCCATGCAGGGAGCCTGATGCGGGACTCGATCCTGGGACTTCAGGATCACACTCCGGGCTGAAGGCGGTGCTAAACCGCTGAGCCACCAGGACTGCCCTAATCTTAAAATTTTTTATTTTTAAAGATTTTATTTAGGGACACTTGGGTGGCTCAGTGGTTGAGCGTCTGTCTTGGGCCCAGGTTGTGATCCTGAGTCCTGGGCTTGAGTCCCACATCCGGCTCCCTGCAGGGAGCCTGCTTCTCCCTCTGCCTGTGTCTCTGCCTCTCTCTCTCTCTCTCATGAATAAATAAATAAGATCTTCTAAAAAAATAAAGATTTTATTTATCCATTTGAGTGAGAGAGAAAGAGGGAGAGCACAAGCGAGAGAGGGAGGGAGGGACAGAGGGAGACAGACTCTCCGCTGAGCTGAGCAGGGAAGTGTGGGGTCTCCATCCCAGGACTCTGGGATCATGACCTGAACTCAAGGCAGATGCTTAAGTGACTGAGCCACCCCAGTTGCCCCAAATAAATAAAATCTTAAAAAGAACTCCCTCTCCAAACCAGAACTCTCACAGAACTTTAGGGAAGTCCTTAAGTGATATTTCCGGTGAAAGAAAAATTTCAGCGAAGTCCAAAAAACCATCCATTTTTATATCAATGTGTTTGGTTAAATTCAAATGAAATCACGTTTTGAGCTTTTGGAGGTGTCAGAGATGTTACTGTCTGGCAAAAGCCCCCTACTTTCTTGCTTGGGGTTGGGGGTGTGGGTGGGGTCAGGCTGCTGCTGTGGTGCTCCCTGCCTACAGCTGCACCAGGCTTCCCTTTTCTGTCCCCCCCCCGCCCCCCGCCCCTCCACTGTCAGGGCAGCCACGGGTCGGGGTGGGGTGGGGGTGGTGGTGGTGGTGGTGGTGGTCCAAGGTAACAAGGATGGGGAAACCAAGGCAGGGGCCTAGGAGGTTGTGCTGGGGATAGGGGTGGAGACAGATAAACAGAGACAGAGACTCAGTGACAGAGAGACAGAGACTTTGAGTAGTAATTAAAGTGGGAGGCAGAATGGAGTAAGGGCCTGCCAAAGGCTGGGGGTGAGGAGGCAGGTCCCACCAAGGAGCACTATTTACTTCCCTGAGCAGCTGAGGGAGCCTCAGAGCAAATGGGGATGAGGCACCTGGGCTTCTTCTCCCTAGGTCACCCTCAGTCTGCACCCACTCCCTGTCCTATGGCCTCCCTGGGAGTTCAAAGCCCTCAGCCTGTGTCCTCTCTATTTTTCCAGTTCTTTCTGACACCAGATCTAACTGTCCCCTTCCTGCTCACACACCTGCCTTGGCTCCTTATTTCCCTCCAACCTCGAAACGGATTTTCAGAGGTCCGGTGGCATGGCCAAGGTGAAACCACCCGAGTGAGTGGAGAACAATGATAATGTGTGAGGTCCCATTTACAACCCTGAGCCCTGCTCTTTGACCCTGGAATCCCACAGCTGCACAGTGAAGGGGTGTTAAGTCAGACAAAGCAAAGTCAATCTCCTGGTCTCCAGCTCTGGCTGGCTGCAGAAGAAGCCACTTCCTGCTCACTTCAGGATTGGGGGTGAAGGTGGTGGTGGGGTTTGATTTCAGTCCCACCCTTAGTCTCTCAAGCTCTGAGCCCTTGGGAAGCAACGGGGTGTGCAAGGTGGGGCGACCCCTGGTGGCTGTTAGCAGAACTAAGCGGTTAGACCTCCCCGCCGCCTCGCTTCTCCTTGAGCCTTGACCTTCCAGTTGTCCCTCCAGGTGAGCCCCTCCCAGGTAAAGACCCAGATCTGGTACCTCCAAGCCCCAGGCCGGTAGGGGGGGATAATGAGCAGGACTGGATGAGGTGGGGGAAAGAGTTCCAATGGCTTCCACCCTGCCTCAGACACCAGCCACTTAGGAATTTTTAGAAACAGATTTTAATTATTTTAAAGGTAATACATGTGCATGATTTTAAATGCAAACTTTACAAAATGATATACAAATATGAGACTGCACCCACCCACCCCACCCCACTCTCACCCCTGTAGTTCCTGCCCCAGGGGCCCCGGCTGTGGCCAATGTTTCCTTCAGAGACACTGGGGTAAAGGTGTCTTCCATCCCTGCATTTTAGCAAATGCACACAAATGGTCACTTTACTGCTTTTTACATTAATGTTGTCAGAGGAGATTTGCTTTGGCACCTTTGACATATTGTATCTGTGTTCCACCACATGGATGGATGGACACTCATGGAAACAGTCACCAACTGGAGGACATTGAGGTGGTTTCCAATTTTTTGTAATTACCAAGATATGATAATAAATGTCCTCATTCTCTTCCCTACCCTTACCCTTTGTCTCATTTTTGAAAGTCAACTTTTAATTTTGGAATAATTTTAGATTTACAGAAAAGTCACAAAGATAGTACAGAGTCCCTGAATGGCCCGCACCCAACTTCTTCTGTGGCTAAGCTATTTTACACTATGGTTCACTCGTCAAAATGAAGAAACTAACCGTAGGACATTAAATTAACTAATTCTAGATTTTAGTTTTTATTTTTTAAAAGATTGTATTTATTTATTCATGAGAGACACACAGAGAGAGGCAGAGAAACAGACAGAGAGAGAAGCAGGCTCCCTGCAGGGAGCCCGATGTGGGACTCAGTCTGGTGAATTCAGGATCATGCCCTGGGTTGAAGGCAGGGGCTAAACCGCTGAGTCACTCAGGCTTCCTAATTCTAGATTTTATTGGATCTTCTCACTAAATGTTTTTCTATGGCAGGATCCAACCCAGGGTTCTGCATTGTATTTGGTCCATTATTCTTTCTTTCTTTCTTTCTTTCTTTCTTTCTTTCTTCTTTCTTCTTCTTCTTTCTTCTTCTTTCTTTCTCCTTCCTTCTTCTTCCTTCCTTCTTTCTTTCTTTCTTTCTTTTTCTTTCTTTCTTCTCTTTCAAGATTTTATTTATTTTAGAGAGAGAACAAGAGGGAGCAGAGGGAGAGGGACAAGTTGACTCTGTCCTGAGCGCAGAGCCCCATGTGAGGCTAGCTCTCACAACACTGAGATCATGACCTGAGCTGAAACCAACAGTTGAATGGTTAACGGACTGAGCCACCCACCCATAAATAAATGAAAATTTATTTATTTTTAAGTAGCCTCCGTGCCCTACATGGGGTTTGAATTCACAACTTGAGATCAAGAGTTGCACACTCCATGGACTAAGGCAGCCAGGAATCCCTGGTTCATCATTTTGTACACATGTAAATATAGTTGTAAAAAATTTCTAGAAGGGGAATTGATGGATCAAAAGATTCATGCATTTTTAATTTTGAGAGGTTCTAGAAAATTGCCCTTCCAAGTGGTTGTACCAATGAGCAGTCTCACCAGCACCATGTGGGATTATTTATTTCTCCACAGCAGTGCCAGCCCAAAGTACTTTGTAATTTGTTTTTGTTTTTATCTTTGCCAGACTAATGGGTACAGAGTGGTACCACATTGTTTCATTTTGCATTTCTTTTCCAGAAGTGAGGTTGGGTACTTTAAAAACATTTTTTTTTTTTTATTGCAATGGGGACGCCTGGGTATCTCAGCGATTGAGCATCTGCCTTTGGCTCAGGGCATGATCCCAGAGTTCCAGGATCGAGTTCCACATGGGGCTCCCTGCATGGAGCCTGCTTCTCCCTCTGCCTATGTCTCTGCCTTCTCTCGGTGTCTCTTATGAATAAATAAATAATAAAAATTATTTTGACTGTTTATATTCTTTGTCCATTTTTCTACTGAGCTGTTTTTTGAAAAATTAATTTATAAGAGTTCTTTATGTAATAAGGAAATTAATTTATTCCTGGGTATAAATAACTATATGAAATAGATCTAGGAAAGTTTTGGTTAATTCTTTGGGTTTTCTATATATAAGATCATATCACCAGCAGATAATAATATTAGGTTGAATTGCTTCTGAGGCTTTCCTGCCTAAAATGCCAACCTGAAACTAATCTTACGGAAGTAACACAGACTCCAATAACTGAACTCCAAAAAGTGACTGACCCAGGTCTTTAAAAAAAATGCCAGTCTTATGAGAGGCAAAGACAGATTGAGAAATGTTCCAGATTGAAAGAGATGAAAGACTTCACAAATACAATGTGTGAGCCAGGATATTCTTTTGTTATAAAAGACATTATGAGAACAGTTGGCAAAGTCTGATTAAAGTCTGTAGATTAGATAATGGTGTTTTATCAATGTCCACTTCCTGATGTTTGTAATTGTACTGTGATTATGTGGGAGAATGTCCTTGTTTTTAGGAAATGCATACCGAAGTGTTATGGGTAATGAGACATCATTTCTGCAAGTTTTTCATAAAAAGTTCAGAGAGAGAGAGAGAGAGAGAGAGAAAGAAAGAAAGAAAGAAAGAAAGAAAGAAAGAAGAAAACAAAGGTGGTAACATTTGTGGAATGTGGTGGAAGAGTATCTAAGAATTCTTTGTACTAATCTTCCAACTTTTCTGTAAATCTGAAGTTATGTCAAATATAAGGTAAAAGACATAATTGAGCCACATGAAATTGTTGGTATTTCTATTTTTTTTCCTATATAAACAGTGCTTACATATGATCCAAACTATAAACGCCCTACTGCTTTCCTGATATTCGAACTGCTTCTTTTTTTCCCTTGGCTAAGTGCATTTGCTAGTACTTCCAGAACAATGTTAAATACTTGACAGTGGTCATCCTCACCTTGCCCCTTATTTTGATGGCCTTTTCAGAACTTTCCTCATTTGATCCATTAGTATGGTGAATTTTATTAGCAGACTTGCGAATATTGAGCCATCCCTGCATCTCAGGGATAAGTCCCCTTTGTTGTGATGTATTTAAAAACGTTACTTAGTTTTTTTTTTCTAATATTCCATTTTGAAGTTTCGTACCCTTCGCATAGTAAGAGGGGTCTGTGGTTTTCCCATTGTGCCATCTCAGTTAGTTTTTGTTGTCAAGGGTAGGGTGGCTCGCTAAACGTGGTTCCAACATTCCATTTACAGACAAGGTAAACTGAGGCCCAGAGAGGAGAAGTGACCCTTCCAGGTCACTCCTGAGCCAGGGCTGGACCCTCAGTCTTCTTGTCTGTGGGATGAAGCAACACTGTCGTTAGAAGGGACTTAAGCCCCCAAACACTATCTCTTTGTGTTATCAAACGGGCCTCAGTTTCCCTGTCTGTAAAATAAGCAGAAGATGGTTGGGGAGAGAGGGTCGAGCTTCCTTTCCGTAGCGTCCATTCAGTGGGCGTAAAGCTGAGCGTTGACGGGTGTCGACCGGCCATCTCCTCCAGCGTGGGCACCTGCACACAGGTTCCCGCAGGGCCGCGCAGTGTGTGCCCTCCTGCCTGGAGCCCTCATCCTGCGGGGCGCCGACTCACCCTCGAGCGCGCCGCGCCGGCCGCCGGCAGCCCCCCGAGGGTCCCGGGCGAGAGCGCGAGCGGGGGCTGGGTCGGGGTCGGGGTCGGGGTCGGGATCGGGGGCGCGGCACTCTGCGCTGGGGGCCCAGCTCGGCTTCCAGGGCTTTACTGACAGGAAGTGGGGAGGGGCCCATCAGCACCTGGACCCCCGTTCCCCGAGACCTTCCAGAGAACCTCACTCCCCAGCATCCGCTAATCCTTCTCCACCCCCAGCCGTTTCCGGGGCTCCTCCCCAGGGACTCCCAGCTCCTTTTCCAGGAGCTCCACCTTCAGATCCCCCGTCCTCTCTCTCCTCGCCTCCTTCTCTTCCGCTCCTCGCCCTTCCCCAGGGCCCTCCAGGGACTCCCGCCCCCAGAATGCCGGCCCAACCTGGGGATTCTCGCCGGCACAGAGCCCACGTCCTTCACCACCCCTACCTAGGCTCCGACTCTAGGACCCGCCTCGGACCCTCCCATCACTCTACTCCCCGAAGCCCCTCCCACGCGGCCACGCCCCTTCTCCATCCCCGGGGGCGCTCCATGTGCTGATTGGTCGAAAGCACGAAGTCTTGCGCAGCTATTGGCCGCGCACCGCGCCCATCCACCGCCCCGGGCCCCGCCCCTCACTCACGCGCGTTCGCGCAGCACCGCCTCCCGGGCCGCGCAAGCTTCGGCTTCGGCCTCGGCCGCGCGTGCGCGCTGCTGTGCCTCGTCCAACCGCCGCGTAGACTCCGTGGCCGCCGCCTCCCAGCGCGCCAGGGCTTCTGCGGGCGCAGGGAGTGGGTTTAGGTCCGAGCCCTCGCTCCCGCCGGGCCGACCCCGGCCCTTGAGTTTACGGTCTGCCTACTATTTGCAGCCTTGCCTCGTGCGAATTAAATTTGTGTGCTGTTTGCGTGACCTTGGCGTGTCACCTGCAGGGCTTTTCATGGTTTGTATTGCTTTTGGGAGTCGTGCACGTGGCGTTTGCATATTTTGTTGCATTTGCGTTGTTTTTGTGACATTTGCGTGGCCTTTGAGTGTTGTGTGCATTTCTTTCTAACTTTTCATTCGCGTTTGCGTGTCGTTTAAATTACGTTTGCACCTGTGCATGCTTTTGCGTAACCAGGAGTCTTTAGGCTCCTCCCACCCCACCCCTTGTGCCCCCAGCACACCTGTGAGCGCCCCGTTCTCAGCCCCCATCTGGGTCCCCTGTGCCTTGGCCTCGTCAATCTCAGTCTTCAGGGTCATCAGTTGCGTCTGAAGCCGGCTCTGAGGAGTGGAGGGGAAGTGAGGAGAGTAGGGGGGTGGGGGGTGTCGGAGAGAAGTGAAGTCTCCCCTCTTTCTGGGGGCGACTGAACTGACTCTGGTCACCGTGTTCCCTGAGCTTTATTTGGGATGTCCTTTGGGAGTCCTGTGGTTGTAAAACCCAGAAGTGTGACAGCTGCTCTGTCCAGGTTGCCCAACCCCCTACCCCAAGCCACCAGATGTGGAAACGGTTTAGGTCTGCGGTCACACTCGGGTTCTTCAATTCTACCCACTTCTAGATTCACTGACTGGGGGTTTCAGCCCAACACAAGCCAGTTTGGTGGTTGACAATGTTTGGGTTTCTGGAGGATGCTTCTTCAGCTCTGGGAGACGTTCTTCAAAACAACTGGCCTGCCCCGCCTCCTCAACACATCTCCCACTGAGGGGCAGAGTCAGAATTTGAACCTAGAGCAGCTGCTCTTAACCTCAGTGGCCTCAGGCCCTTCCCTGAGGCAGGCAGGTAAAGGACAGAGGTCTGTTTTGATTTCTAGAATTCACACACTGCTCAACTCCTGCTGGGCCAGAGACACAGGGCGGTCAGTAAATGAAAGATCGGGACCTTGAGGATGGTTCTTTTGCAAGGCCCAGGGCTGAGAAGGGTTAAGAAAGAGTTTGAAGGGGTAGCCAGAGGAAAAGGAAGGACCTGGCCAGTACCTCCCCCAAGAGGCCAACTTTAGCCTCCTAATTACAGGTGACATGAATGTCCCTCTCTCGAAATAGGGCTTCGGGACACTGGCTGGGGGAGGTTGAGTGGGCACCCAGGGGGAGGGTTAGCACAGGGCCTCCCCAGGTGGGCTCAGGGTCTGGGGCTTCCCTAGCCACCACCAGCTCTTAGGCAGATAGCAGAGAACTGGGGGCTTCCTTGGTCAGAGGTAGGCACCAGGGGGAACTGGTATTGTAGGATCTGGAAGGGACGATGGTGCTCTTCTCATCTGCCTCCCTCATTTGAAGAATTAGGGAAACTACTGCACAGGGGGGCAGCCCGGGGGCTGTGTGTGCGCGCCCTCTCCCCTGTTTCCCGGATACCCTGGCCCAGCACCCTGCGCACCTACCTGGCGGCCCTGGCAGGCCCGTAGCGCCTCCTCCAGCTCCCCGCGGGCGCGGTTGGCCTGGTCCAGCCGTCTGGCCAGGGCATCCTCACGCTGGGTAGCCTCGGCCAGCCGCCGCTGTAGTTCCTCGACCTCGGGCGCCAGGTCCCTGGGGGGCGCCGTGGCGTTGGCCCCTGGCTCCGGGCAGCGAGGCCCCCGGGAGGCCGCCGAGGCCAGGTTCCAGGCCAGCAGGGCCGCCCCGGCCGCCGCGGCCGCCAGGAACACCGCGGCCCCGCACAGGGCCAGCACCCGCCAGGCGCGGCCCGGCTCGGGCCCCAGCTCGGCCATGCCGCCGTCCGCAGCTCTGGCCCCAGACAGCCTCGAGCAGCTAATTGGCACCTTGGGGCGCCAGGGACACCCACGGTTCCGCCCCTCCCGGCCGTGGCTTCCCGAGTCCGCAGGGAGGGGGCTGGACCCCCGCCAGGGGCCAGCCTGGGCTCCCCGAGCCCAGGGCGGGATTGGGGGTCCCGGGTTCCAGTCCCGCCTCTGCACCCCATGTGTCCTCTGAGCCTCAGAGTCTGCCCCGCCGTGAAGTGGGAGCGGCCGTAGCTCTTGCCCCCCGGGGCCCAGTGGGTACCATGAGGGCACCTGTGCCTAGCACCCATCTGCATTGGGGGTACTCGGTAAGGATCCCCATTCCATTCATGGAAACACTGAGGCTACAAGAGGGAGGCTACCGCCTGGCTCCACGCCCTCGGTGCCTGGCTTGAGGGTCAGGGGTAGACCCACGGGGGACCCCCCCCCTCACGCCCGGTCCCATCGGGCCGCCAGGGGGCGACCTTACACCGCGAATCAGATCCAGGCCAGTCTAGGAGCCTCCTCCCCAACTTCCCCTCCTCTTCTGCTTCACCTTCCTCCCCCAGCTCCCCTGCCCCTCCTCCTCCCTTCTTCCCCCTCCTCCTTCCTTCCTCCTCTCCTCCCTTCCTCCTCCTCCCCCTCCTCCCCGTCCTCCCCCTCCTCTTCTTCTCTCTCTCCCTCCTCCCCCTCCTCTCCTCCTCCCCCTCCTCCTCCTCCCCATCCTCCCCCTCCTCTCTCCTTCCTCCTCCTCCTCCTCCCTCTCCTCCTCCCTCCTCCTCCCTTCTTCCCCCTCCTCCCTTCCTCCTCCTCCTCCTCTCCCTCTTCTCCCTCCTTCCTCCTCCTTCTCTTTTCATCTCTGGCCCCTCCTCCACTTCCTTCTGCCCTTCCCCCTCCTCTTCCTCTTTCCCCTGTGCTAGGGTGACTCCCAGCCAGCCCTGCTCAAAGAATTGCACCAAGAGTAGAGCAACAAGCAGCAGAGAATTTATTCACTCTCCAGGGGAGGAGAGGGGCCAGACATCAGGAGAGATGGGGAGTTTCTGCTACTCTGGGCCTTTTAAGGGGTTTTAAGGGTGTCAGAAGGTGGCAGCTGCACCCGGTGGGCGGGGGGGGTTGTGAGGAGGGGTTGACACTTGGCCTGGTAGAGCAGGAGGTGACATGCTTCTTGGGGCGGAGGTAGGGTGGCGGGCTCTGTCTGGGCTTGTCTGGGATGTGGTTGTGGTTGGGCTAGAGAAGACGATGTTGTGTAGCTGTGGTCTATTTTCTGGGAATTAGGGGACCATTACCTGGAAAAACCAAGAGTCAGGGTCAAGTACAGACACCTGTGAGTTTTGTCTGTGGGCTTGATAGGTGGCTTTGTTTGTTTCTTTTTCTTTTTTTAAGATTTTATTTATTCATGAGAGATACAGAGAGAGGCAGAGACACAGGCAGAGAGAGAAGCAGGCTCCATGCAGGGAGCCCAATGCGGGACTCGATCCTGGGACTCCAGGATCATGTCCTGGGCCAAAGGCACGTGCTAAACCGCTGAGCCACCCAGGGATCCCTGTTTGTTTCTTTTTAAAGATTGTATTGATTTATTTATGAGAGACACACAGAGAGGCAGAGACACAGACAGAGAAGCAGGCTCCCTGCAGGGAGCCGGACATGGGACTCAATCCCAGGACCCTGGGATCATGACCTGAGCCGAAGACAGATGCCCAACCACTGAGCAACCCAGGTGGCCCAAGGAGAGGGCTTTGAATAGTACCCTTTCACCTTCAAGTCCCCTATGTCTTTATTTGCTCCTTGTGGACGCTCTTCAGACCTCCTCTTCTGGCAAACACGTTGGCATCCCAGGGCCTTTGCATTGGCTCTTTGCTCTGTCTGAGCACCCTGTCCTCTCTCTTTGCCCAGCCTCTCCTTACAAGCTCCCCCCACTCCTACCCCTGACTGGTGTTTCTCATCCTCTAGAACCCCTCCCCTCCCCTACTAACTCAGGCCCCTTTTGACTAACTCTCTGAGCTCTTCTGCAATTTTATCCTTTACAAGTTTGAGTCCCAGCTGCCCGCACATTCGTCAGGCAGTAAATGTGAGCCGTGTCCTCCCCATCCCTGTGCCCCTCTTCCACATGAAGAAACCAGAGCCCAGAGAGGCCAAGTCACAGGGCAGGGTCACACAGCAGCCTCTGGTCACTACCGGATTCCCTCTGGAGCTGGAGCCCCCACAGACCTGCAGGACCCCTCTGACCTGACTTGTCAACCCTCCACTGGGTCACAGCCAGCGAGGGAAAAGGGGTGTTGGGGAGTAAGAATTTCCTGTCCCCTTCTAGATCCTTCTAGCTGGACTAAGAATCAAATTGACATGAGACAGGTTAACAAGAAAAAATCAAATTTAATTTCATATGGACAGGGAAACAGACACGGAAACTTCCAAAGGCAGGCAAAATCAGGTTTATACATCATTCTAAACTACAGAGAGGAGGAAGTAAGGGTCTGGGACTTCAGAGGGAAGGAATACAATTCACAGGAAGATGTCTAGTAAACAAATGTATTCTAGGCCACTCAGAGAGAATGGGACACACAGGATTTTGATCAAATAGGCCTTGTGAGGTTTCTCCCTGTCTACCATATCCAATTCACAGTATGATGTAGTTATCTATTGGTGAGAACTCTCTTCCTGGGGCAGCTCCTCTGTTTAAATTCTTTTTAGGCAATCATGGGGGAGGAGAGAGCTTTTGCTGAATATGCTGGGTTTTGATTGCTTTTTGTTATTTTATTTTTTTAATCAGAATATTTTTTTAATCAGAATATTTTATTTTGTTTTATTTATTTTATTTAAGATTTTATTTATTTATTCATGAGAGACACACAGAGAGAGAGAGGCAGAGACATAGGTAGAGGGAGTGCTTGCGGGCTCCATGCAGCAAGCCCAATGCGGGACTGGATCCAAGGATTCTGGGATCTCGCCCTGAGTCAATGGTAGATGGTCAACCCCTGAACAACCCAGCCATCCGCAGAACATTTTATTTTATTTTTTAAGTCGGCTCTACACCCAAGTTTGTGGAGCTCAAACTCACAACCCTGAGATCAAGAGTCGCAGGCTCTACAGACTGAGCCAGCTGGGCACCCCTTGATTGCTTTTTTATTTACTTATTTTTTAAAATTTTTATTTATTTATGATAGTCACACACAGAGAGAAAGAGAGGCAGAGACAGACTCCATGCACCAGGAGCCCAACATGGGACTCGATCCCGGGTCTCCAGGATTGGAGCCCTGGGCCAAAGTCAGGCGCCAAACCGCTGTGCCACCCAGGGATCCCTGCTTTTTTGACTCAAAGTAGTCTTCTTCATGCCAAAGCGGCCCATTTGGGGGCAGTCTGCCCTTGGCCCCTACAAGGCATTTTAGGAAGGAGAGTTGTTTTTTTTTTTTTTTAAAGATTTGTTTATTTATTCATGAGAGACACAGAGAGGCAGAGACACAGGCAGAGGGAGAAGCAGGCTCCTCACAGGGAGCCCGATGCGGGACTCCATCCCCGGACCCGCGATCACGCTGTGAGCCAAAGGCAGACGCTCAACCGCTGAGCCACCCAGGCGTCCCCAGGAGAGGTTTGTACTCAGCCATGTATGAGGGTTTGGGAGAAGAGACTGATTGACTTGAATCCATCATATTGGACAAAACTGTTCTTGGGCACCATGGAAACAAAACAGCCCAGGCATGGGGGTGGGAGGGCGGAGGATGGTGGGATGTGAAGCCAACTCAGCCCCTCCCGCCCGTCTAGTAGTCACTAAATCTTAGCAAGCACCCATAGCTCGAGTGACTGATTAACCAAACCTTTCTTTGTAGATTTATAGGTCCTGCATTCTTTCTTAGAGCAGAGCACTTCTACACTCTGTCACCAGGCTCTCCTGCACCCCCGGCCCCCCAGAACCAAGGAACCGGAATCCCTTGCCCAACCTGTGAGCACCACAATAACATCTGTAGCTGGCACAGGCAAGACTGCACATAATCTAGATCACAGGCTGCAGCACTCCCTTAGCCGATTAACTGCCCCGAAGTCCCTTTAAAAATCTCTGGGCCAGGCAGAAACTTCTGAGTGGCTTTTGGGCTCTGAGTCCTTCTCCCCAGGTGGCCAGGTGGCCAGCCTCCTGAATAAAGCTCCTGTACCTTTCCAGTCAGGACCCATCTCTGGAATATTGGCCTTTCTGGCTTCTGTAACAGTTTTGAGCGGGGGCAGGGGGGGGGTCACGTGAGAAGGACTCACTTCTGGGAATCAGAGGTATCAGAGGTTTCAATTTCCCCACTCCCCCCAGCAGCTCAGAAGCTCTGAGGAAGTCCAGGAATTTTTCTGGATTTCAGTTTCCCTGTTTGTTAGATGGGGCGGTTAACTGGGGGGTGAAATGACTCCGTCATCCTAAAGCGACCTCAAGCAAGCTAGGGACACAGAAGTGAGGAAGAGGAGAACCGTCTCTAGAGCAGTTTCTCACAGGAAGTGAATCTGCACCCCCCCCCCCCGGTGGGGGTGCTTGGCAATGTCTGAAGGCATTTTCTGTTGATCCTACAGCACCCAGGGCGGCCCCCACGGCAGACAGAGCACAACCCAGCAGTGCTGACAGACCCAAAGGGCCTGGCTCCGGTGCCACCGGCAGGAAGTCGCCTGGACAATAGTTGGGATTCCAGAAGGACTTGGAGAAAGGGAGATAACAGAGGAGGAAGGGCTGAGGGAGCCTGGGAGGATCCATGAAAGTAGATCAAGAGTCTATGGAGACAGCTGCTCTCAATTTTGAAGAAGCAGAGAGACTCTCTGGAGGAGGGGTTCCCAGCGCTGGACACTGCAGGAGGAATAAGAGTTTGGAGTAGGGCCCTGTCACAAAGGCCTGGGCTGTGTGTGTCTGCAGATCCAGGCTTGAATCCTGGCCCCGAATTTTCTGTGGGATGGGATTGGGCACTACGACAAGATGTCCCCCTGCCATAGCCTTGGTTTCCCCATTGGAATAGGCATCAGGGGAAGATCCAGTGAGGAAAAGAGGGGAGATGAGAGTTGATGACTAGGATGCCCGGCATACAGGGAGTGCTGATGAGGGTGTAGAGTCCTGTAAGCTGATCCCAGTGAAGAGCTCCAGGGAGGCAGGGGGATGGTGCCTGCCGGAACCCTAAGGGTTCCTGGGAACGTTCTGGAGCAGGGAAGCTTGGGTGTGGACCCTCACCTGCAGGACAGGCCCCAGATGCATGAGAGTGACATAAACACTCCAGAAACTTCAGGGTAAGGTCTTTTCCCCCCCATAGAGGTGTTTACTTTTTGGAGTTCTAAGACTTCAGAAGACAGTGAACTTCTGGAAACCATGACATTGAGAAATAGGTACTCCCCCCACCCCATGCCCTGCCCAGCTCTGGGGGGAGGTGGGGTCGGTGGGGGGAGGCAACCCTGGGCCAACCCCCCTGCTTGTCCATCCCCCAGCCTGCTCCTTGTCCCCCATCCCCTGCCCCTGCTACCTCGCCCACCTCCCCGTAACCATACTGCCATGTGGCCCCCTCAGAACTGGTCTGGTCAGGGAAGCCTTGAAGGGGAAAACAGAGCAGGAACCAGCCCTGGCTGTGGGCTAAGAGACACCATTACAGGGACTCAGGGCTGAGGGCGAGGGGGACAGAAGGCGGCCAGCCCTGCCCCCTCCAGGCCAGCCCCCTACTCTGTGCCCTCCCCCTCCTAGAGACCCTTCTCTGTGTCCTGTCCACTACCCTGTCGGCAGGCCACCTCCCCAGACCCCGGCCCATCCCGGACTCCCTCCCCCCTTCTGTCCCCAGCTTTCTCTACCCCAGGCCACCCGCCTTCTTACCGGCAGGCCTCCTGGGACCTCAGGCCAGTAGAGCCCTAAGGCCTAGGAGCAGGTACATGGGGACCACCACGGAGCCGGGGGGTGCTTTCAAGGAGCTGACGGAACTGGTTTCCCTTTCCTTGCTTGAGGCCTCCTTCCCTTTTCTGGGGAAAATGTGGGAGAACTGAAGCAGCTGCCGGGCCTGGTTCTACCAGGTCTGGGCTGGTCACCCCTCAGAGTCTCCCCCTCCTCCCCGACCAAGTCAGTGGGAAGGAGAGTGGGCAGCAGTCACTCAAGGCTCGTGGGACCAGAGGCACCAGGCTGGGGTTCAAACTTTGCGTCCTGAGCAATGGGGATTTCCCAAGCAAAGGGAGGCCTGGGTCTTGGTGGCGGGGAGGGGGTGGTGGTGGTGGTGGTGGTAAGACAAATGCGAGGGAGAGGGGCATGGTCAGGGCCGGGGCTCAGACCTTAGCTGCTTCACCTCCTCCAAAGCGCCCTGCAGCTGCTGCTTCAATGTCTCGATCTCTCCTAAGGTGGGACAGGATCAGGGGGCCATGTCAGCACAGTGGCAGTGGCCTGGACAAGGTGTGACAAGTGGCCACATCCTTCATCTGGCTCTACCCTGGGACCTGACACGTCCTCCGGCCCCACCGTTGTGCCACCCCACCTTGGAATTCTGGGCCACTCCTTTCCCCTCCTCCACTGGATTCCAGCCACTCCCTGGGGACCCCAACCCTGGGACCCTCCCTCTCCCCTCCCCTTCACTGCCTGACCCACCCCTCCCAATCCCCCTCCATGGAACCCTGGCTTTGTTCTTTCTCACCCTGAAGTTTCTCTTCTCGGGTGAGCTGCTCCTGACCCCAGGCCTTCTCCTTCTCCAGGGAAGCTGACAGGGTCACCTGGATGCGGGGGTGGGGTTGGGGGGGTATCAGAGACTGGGGTTCTGGCGGCTGCTGCTCTGGGCCCCAGAAGGGGGTCAGAAGGGCCTGGGGCCAAACCTCTTTCAGGTTTCCCTCCAGCCCTCCCTGCACCCCAGTCTCCGACCTTCAAGAATGACCACAACCTCCCTCTCTCCCAGGGCACCTCAGGATTCTATCCTCGAAAGAGGGGAGGCTCCCCTACATGAGAATTTGGAGGCCTCCCCATGCCCAAACCCTAGGAGAAACTCCTAGACCCTGTGGGCTATTGCCCAAGATTTAGAACACCGCCCCCCCCCAAACCCAGAACACAGGGGGATTTCCAAGGCCAAGCTGGATATTGGTGAGAGTTTCAAGGTCCCCCAGGTCAGGACCCACTTGAAAGTTTCAAAGTCTCTCCCAGATGGAGTAGATGTATGGAGAGTCCCACCCTTCTTTACGGTGTGATGAGGTCCCCATACCAAGCCCTAGCTGGGATTTCTGCTGCCCAAGACTGGGGCAGAGAGGAGTTTCTAGCTCTCCTGTACCAGGTTGGAGATTCTTCCCACATCCTAGTGGGGATTTGGGTGCTCTGGGCAGTTTGAAGGGCCTGCCCCACACCAGCACTGCTGAGAAGGTTTAGAGATCCCCCAAGCCCTAGTGGGGAAACTCAACTCCCGATGCGGGGCTCTGGGGGCAGTTTCAGCTTCTATTTCCATCTCCATCTCCATCTCCGTCTCCATCTCCGTCTCCGTCTCTGTCTCCATCTAGACCTGGGGGGCCACGCAGGCACGGGGCCCTCTCCGAGAGTTGCCATCTCTTACCACAGTCTTGTTGCAGGTGGTAGCCTGGTCCATGGTCCCCTGTAACGCTTGCCAGGTTTGGGTTAGTTGGCGCTCCAGGAGGCTGGTGACATTGTGACACTCCTGCTCTACTCGGAGGCCATCCTGGCAGGCTTTGCTGTTGGCCTTGACAACAAAGATGATCAGAGCCACAAACAGAGCCAGCACCACTGGGATCAACAAGATGCCCAGCCACTCCAGGCACTTCAGCTTCTGACTTGACGACATTGACTCTGACTTGTCAGTTATGGGCACGGGCCAGTTGTGGTAAAGAGTAGGTGCCATGTAGATCTGCTCATGAATGTAGTGAGTTTGGGCGGGAGTTAGGGGAGGACGCTGGAAACCTTTGACTGGCTGGGGCTACCCCCTGATTAGCATAGGAGCCATCCTGACCAATAATAAGGACCCAGAGAGACCTCTGACCTGGAGGCTCTGAGGGGGGCATCTGCCGGCAGAAAAACAGTTTAGGCTTTCAGTTTCGATTTCCCAGAGGAAAATGTGGGTTGCTTGTGCTGAATTGAAACCTTGAGATTTGGGACGTCTGGGTGGCTCAGTCAGTGATTGATGGTCTGCCTTTGGCTCAGGCTGTGATCCAGGGGTCCCAGGATTGAGTCCAGCATGGGGCTCCCCGCGAGAAGCCTGCTTCTCCCTCTGCCTGTGTCTCTCTGCCTCTCTCTGTGTGTGTCTCTCATGAATAAATAAATAAAAGTTTTATTTTAAAATAAAATTATTTATTTAATTTTATTGAACTCCAGGACCATACCCCAGGCTGAAGGCAGACGCCTAACTGCAGAGCTACTCAGGTGTCCCAAATAAATGAAATCTTAAAAAAAAAAAAAAAAAAAGAAACCTTGATTTTTTTTCTGGTTTGGTGAGGGTGGGTGTGGGGGTTGCCGTGAGATCCTGAGGGAGGGATCTGCCTGGACACCCGCATGCGGCTGGGGGTGACAACTGCAGTTACTGAGCATCTCATGCATGTCAGCCTTGTGTTCATGTGTCCCAGGACCTGAAGAAACAGAAGCTGCCATTGGTTCAGCTCCAAGCTGAGGAAACTGAGGCCAAGAAGTGTGTGGTAGACTGGGGGCAGGGCTTGGCTCTGACTCAAGAGGGGGTCTCTGTGGTGGTGACCCAGCAGGGGTTCTTGCATCCCTGCGTCCAGCCCACTGAGGGGACCACAGGGATCCGTGGAGGGAGGGTGTCTGAGGAGGGACCTAAGGCTGCTCTGGATGGGGACCCCCTGGACTCAGGCTGCATGCAGTTCCCTCATTTGGCCCCCAGGGACGCCCCAGCCAACGAATAGGGTCACCCAGATTACATCTTGGCTCCTGCAGGGAATAGGCTCCTACCTCTAGAATCTGCCTCTGCCATCCCAGGACACCAAGAAAACCCTCTGGACCTCAGTTTTCCCATCTGTAAAAGGGGGGAGGGGGCGATAACAGGAGCAGCCTCATCAGGAGTGGTCAGTGAGGAGTTTCTAGTAAAGTGCCTTGGCATCCAGGAGGCACTCAATGAATGTGTGGGACAGGGCAGGAGGAAAGGTGAGTGACACAGAAATATGCCCATGGAGGGAGAAGCACATTTTGAGGAAAGACAATTCAGTCCATCTGGGGACATGCTGGACCCAAAGTGCTCTCGGGGAGTGTCCAGGGAGAGGCCTCAGAAGGGGGCTGGACCCTGGAGGGAAGCTACACTGCCCTCCACTCCGCATGGCTGGGGAAGCCAGAGCTTCCTGCTGGAAATCAGCCTCCTGAGAGGCTCCCACCTGCTGGCCGTGGCAGCTGGAAGGTAGTTGGGTGCTTTTCCTGTGGCTTCTTCAGCTACAGCCAGACCATGACCCGGATCCCAACCCAGGTTGGGTCAGCCATTTCCAGTGCGTGTGATGAGCTGGGCCAGAAGGCGATCAGGGCCACAGCCAGGGTCCCAGGCCTCCTAGAAGGCCTGGAAACGTATCTCTAGGCCCCCATGAGACATGCTCTGCCTAGAAGCCCCCATGAAAGCCACTCAGCAGCCAAATAGCAGAGGATAAGCAATGGTCTTGCTGAAGAGGCCCAGGGGGAGCTTGAAAAGGGCCCTCCCTCCCTAGCCAGGACCCCCAGGTGCAAACATAAGACCGTTGGCAAAGCTGGCTTCGGGCTGTCCTGGCCTTCAAACCTTTGGGGTCACCTTGAGACTAAAATTCCAGGTCAGAGGCCAAGGCTGTGTGTGAACAGCCCTGCTTCTTGTAGGACCTGAACATGCAACTTCCTCTCAGCTTCGGTTTCTGTAGCTGTAAAATGGGGATGATACAAACGAAGCCTTTCAGTGGGCCCTTACATTTTGCAACTGAGGCAAGTGCCTTACTCATCTCGCTCTAGCCCCAGCTCTGCTGACATGAAGTTTTCCCTCTAAAATTCCAAGGGGAACAGGCTGCTGTTTTTCTGACTTTAGCTTCGTTACTTTTTTTTTTTTAAGGATTATTTTGTCTTAAAATAGTTTTGAATTTGCAGAAAAATGGTGAAGACATACAAAAATGTTCCGTATGCCCCCACTTCCAGTTCCTCAGACTTCTAATATTTTACAGTGGTATGGTGCATCTGTTTTATTTTTATTATTAAAGATTTTATTTATTTGACAGAGAGAGAGAGAGCAAGAGAGAGAGCGAGAGAGAGAGCACGGGCACAAGCAGGAACAGCTGCAGAGGGAGAGGGAAAAGCAGGCTCCCCACAGAGTAGGGAGCCCAAGGTGGGGCTTGATCCCAGGTTCTGGTCCTGGCTTCTTTCTTAGAGAGAGAGAGAGAGAGAGAGAGAGAGAGAGAGAGAACACTGTGTAGGGGCAGAGGGAGAGGGAAAGAGAATCTCAAGCAGACTCCATACTGAGTGTGGAGCCTGACTCGGCGCTTGATCCCATAACCCTGAAATAGTGACCTGAGCCAAAACAGAGTTTTTTTAATGCCTTTTCTATGATCCAGGACTCCATGTTACATTTAGTTGTCACATCTCCTTAGGCCCTTCTGGGCTGAGACAGTCTCAGACTGGGACACCTGGATGGCTCAGTGGTTGAGCATCTGCCTTGGGCTCAGGGTGTGATCCCAGGGTCCTGGGATCGAGTCCCTCACTGGGCTCCCTGCAGGGAGCCTGCTTCTCCCTCTGCCTATGTCTCTGCCTCTCTCTGTGTGTCTCTCATGAATAAATAAAATCTTAAAAAAAAAAAAAAGGTAGTTTCAGACTTTCTTGTTTTTGATGACCTTGACAGTTTTGAGCAGAACCGGTGAGGTGTTTTGTAGGATGCTACCCAGTTGTGATTTGTCTGCTGTTTTTTCAAGCTTGGCCTGGGGTGACAGGTTGTGGGGTGGACGGCAGAGGTGAAGTTCCCTTCTTGTCACACTACATCCAGGGCACATGCCATCAGCTTGACTTTTCACTGAGATGTTGACCTAGATGGCCTGGTTGAGGTGGCCTCTGTCAGGTGTCTCCACTGCTAAGTTACTTCCTTTCCCCGGTTGGTGCTGTGCCCTGTGGAAGGAAGTTAGTGTGGGCATCTCTCATCTAAACCCACATCTGGGGCAGGAAGGAAGGGTACACACACAGGGCTTTTTCTTTTGTGGTTAATCTTGAGAGAATACAAGCGAAACAGCGAAACAAACTTCTTGAAGGACAAAAAGGTCATCCACAATCCTGCTCCCCTCACTCAGCTCTTTTGTCTCTTTTTGTTTGTTAAATTACACACATATTTCATTGTGTTGGCCTAGTTGTATAATGCCTTGCTCTTGAGATGTTTCAGTTGTGCATGGCCCTGAGTGGGTGACAGAGGTCATCTCCAGGCTTGTAGGAAGACACCGGCCCAAGGGTTCTCACTCAGGGGTGATTCTGTCTCCAGGGGACATCGGGAGATAGTTTTCTTTCTCTTTCTTTCTTTTCTTCTTTCTTTCTTTCTTTCTTTCTTTCTTTCTTTCTTTCTTTCAGCCTTTCTTTCTTGATCTATTTATTTGAGAGAGAGAGAGAGAGAGAGAGAGAGATGAATGAATGAATGAATGAATGGGAGGGGGAGGGGGAAGGAGAGAGAATCTCAAGTAGACTCACACTAAGCATGGAGCCTGACATGGGGCTGGGTCCCAGGACCCTGACTGAGATCACGACCTGAGTGGAAACCAAGAGACAGACGCTTAACCTACCACACCACCCAGGTGCCCCTGGAGATAGCTTCGATGGTCAGGAACTTCATATTGGGGTTGAAGGGAAGGGCACTACTGGCATCTGGTGGGGGGAGGTGAGGGATGCTGTTCAGCACCCCACAGCACCCAGGACAGCCCTGAGGTGGAGAATGATGCCAGGAGTCAGATTTGGAGTCAGCTGGGCTCGGTCCGCTCAGCCCTAGGCTCCTCCACCTGCCAAGCCTGCTTGCTTGTAGGTTGGCTGTGACAGCGGCTGCCCCAGCTGCTCCGAGGACCCGACAGGCGCTTAGCTCAGTGTTCAGCTCCTCCCCACTGCCTACCAGGTCATCCACCTGTGTCATCCTTTGATAAGTTGTGGATCGATGTGATCTTTCCTTAGACTGAATTCCCAGGAGTGGAGTTACCGGGTCCTCGGACTCTCACTTTCCCTAAAGAACAATCTAGAATTTAGTCTGTTCCTGCCCCTGCAGGGAGTGGATGTTCCTCTCTCCTCATATCAGACATCCCGTTTCCTTCTAGCTCCTTCCTGTTCCTGTTCCAGCAGCACCGGGTAGGACTGGCTGGCTTCAGGGTGACCTCCACCCACTGCGGCCATTTCCCTGGGTCCATAGTTCAATCAGTGCCAGCTTCTCACCCGGGCTCAGGGCTGAATGTTGGCGATCAAAGCATGTTTCTTATTGGAGAAGGTCATCGAGAAGATGTGTGGGTTGGTTGACCAATGAGCTGGACCCAGTTGTTCTGAGGCTCCTCACCCCCTCCCCATCCCCTGTCCTTGGAGGGTACCTTCTGCTTATTTTTCCTACACGAGGAGCCACTTCAAGGACATAACCTTGTGAGAAAGCAAGGTGTTGTTGAGACTATCTGGGCTGTATATGTGGGTGAACCCCGCTGAGGTCTTTGCAGAGACTCTTAAGATTCTAGTGGGTGGGTGAAGAGATCTCCCCATCTTCCCACTCAAGACAAATCTCATAAGTAAGCTCCCCTCCTTATTAAGCCTGCCACCTACCTGATCTGGAGCAGTCTGCCTTTTTCTATCGTCTCTCCTTGCCCTCTATGAATGCAGCCAATTTCAGATCTGACTCGGGGATGTCTGGAGGTTGGGAGCCAACAATGGTGTCAGACCGCTGGGAGGCCAGAAAACGGGCCTTGGGAAAGAGGCAC